TAATTAAAGTGGTTCTAGATGCTGATGATTAACTTGTTTGGAGCATGGGATTGAGGGGAGAAAAATCAAATGTTGCTCGATGTGTTTCCGTTTGAAAGAGAAGCCCCAGCTGCCCTGCATAATGCCTCAGCCATCCGCCCTGTATACCTCTGGTGTTCACAGCGTATGTAAATGGACACGGCGTTTGCTTTAAAGGAGGGCCGGCCTAGTTGCTTGACACTTCTTTTCTTCTAAATTATTGTTATTTTCCAGTCAGTTTGGAACTTCTGCTTTCTAGGTGAAGGATCCACAGCAGAAGGTGCCTTTGAAGAAAATAGTTACCACTAGCTGTGCTCAGAATACCTCTGTCTTTCCTCATAGTGGTTTTTGCCATCGTAATTCACAGGGAACTTTTAAAATACTGTTTCATGAGTATTTAACTGGCTGCTGATAGGACACTCTCTGCTGTTTCAGTGCACTGACCTGAATCTTGGAAGGGAGCAGAGATACTGTAGTGGCCCATGAATCGCCTTCTCTCGGCAAGTGTTTTGGAGCTTCCAAGTGTTCAAATTCCTTTCCCAAGTCTGGGAGGGATTAGCTACGAGAATATAGAAATCCTGTAGAGATCCTTATGCTTAAAGAACATAAATTTGTTCTATTAAATTGAAAGTTTATCCTCTGCTTAGTTTTGCCAAGAGAATTTCTTAAAGGAACATAATTTTGCAGTGCTGTGTAGGTCAATGATATATAAGTTGTGTTCTGGACATTCAAAACCGATGACAGTTGTCTCCAGACCAGATCAGCAAGTGTTACCTTACTCACTTTCACCTTTCTCTGAAAGACTTTCTGCCAATATGTAATGAATTAAGCAAAAACATTGTGTCTTTATTGGTCTCTTTTGCCCTTCTCTCCTTGGGTTTTTTTACGCTTACCCATTCTGTAAGCTTTGGGGCAGGGACTAATTTGTGATTACTTTCCTGAGGTCTTATGTTACTAGTTGTAGTGGAATGCCTCAGCTTTCTTTTTTTTTAGGTTAAGCATACAGTTTTGAGAAAACTTGCATTTTAATTCCCTTTAAGTTTTGCACCACTGTGTTCTGCTTTAGAGAGTGGGTTTGCTGCATTGAACACGCTGTGGACCTGTCAGTGTCTTACAGCACTCACTGTTCTGGTGCACGGCTGTGTTGAGTGATTTGATTTGAGTCTGGAGGCTTGTTTCTTGGGGGTAAATGCCAACACAGTCCCTCTTCTTCTGAAGCAGACACAGTATTCGAATGAGCTGTGAAGTTAACATAAGAATTCATCAAGTGTAAAAGGCAAAAGTAGTAGTTTTCACTGCTGTCATAGAAAGGAGCTATTATCCTTCCATCTAAAGAAAGCTCAAAATGCTGCTTTCACAGGGTTTGTCTCAAGTTAGTTGTGACTTGTAGTGCTAGGCTGTGTTCTTTGCTGGCATTGTGTGGGCTGGGTATATTAAACAATAGCCAGCCTGCAAACAAGAGGACAAAAACATTTACAAGAACATGCTTTGAGCAAGCAAAAGAAAGCAGACTGCTCAGGAAAGGGGGAAGTAACAGATAGAAATTAGCTGATTTCCAGTGTTAGGGATAGTGCAATATAAAAGAAATAAATAATATAATGGGGAAAACAGATGTGAAAGAGAAGAGAGCAGAAGTTTGTCTTGAAGTTACTTTTTGCAGTGGCTGGGCAGGAGCGTGAACAGAAATTAATTTAAGGCAGCCTCCGGAGTTGGAGGAGTAAAGCAGAGCTATCTCATTTGTGTCTGTCTAGGTTTTGCTGACTCTTGAGCTAGAACTACAGTGGGAACTAAACTGCTCTGCGCAGGTTAGAAGTGGGACTGCTCTGACATCTGTTAAGCCAGTCCAGCGTGAGGGGCGTTTTTTTTCTCTAATGTACTCCAGGAGCCTGAGGCATTGGAAAGTGTTAGTAAAGAAAGAAAATGATCTGTACAGCAGAGTAGGTACTAGTAATCTTCCACTGTGTGTCTAAAACTCCACCACTTTACCTTTTTTGTCCTATAGCTGTAAAACCTGTGTCTAATTCTGTCAGGTTTGGACCATTTAGTCTGTATACGCCTATATATAAGCATTTAAGTTACATCATGTAACTACTGTATTTCACAGTGAATCCACTTGAAATGGTGTAAGGACATATTTATTATATAAACTGCTTTCATTTGAGTCCAGTGTATTTGGATATTTTGGAATTTCCACTATGCAGAAACAGGTAAATACTGATTTCTGTTACACTTGGGAAGGATCACTAGGGACTTTTAGTCATAGTTTATTGCATCAGCATTGCAATCAGTGTCTAATATATCTCTAAAAGAAACCACTCAAGGTAGGTGAAAGCAATTTCTGTTTGTTTTGCAGTTGGTGAGACGAGTTTGTAGTTGCCAACCCACAGAAACTTTGCACAGAAATATTCTCTTTACATCTAAAATGCAGCCTTAATGTATTCTAGTGGAGAATTTTAGAGAGTACAAATACCTTAGTGCCTTGCTCTTTCACTGAGAAACATAATGAGTGTTCCAGCCTTTCCAAACCTCTGGCTTCCCTGTGGCTGGCTCTGTCTTATTAAGACTGTGCTGCTAGTCAGCAAAGAAACAGCAGCAATGCGTGGCCATTTGCTAAGGAGCACAGTTGGGACAATAAAGCTTGTATCTCCTTTATGCAGGAAGCATCAGCCCTGGAGAGAGGTCATTGTGCAGATAAGCTTGGTAAGCACAATGCAATAAACAGATTAATAACTAATGCCAGGTAGAGCGGGGTAATGATCTGACTTGCATTAAACCTTGCAGAGAATTGGCAATATGTGAATTGGAGAAGTGCCCCCTTCGGAGGGCCTTTTTGTACAAATCATGTTCTCATACCAAAAGAGATGGTAAAAGATTGTGTTCTTAAAAAAAAAAAAAAAAAAGTGACAAGTGGATCATGTAGAATGCAAAGCCTTTTCATGTTCCTTTGGGAAGGCGAGGAAGAACCAGGGGGGAAGAAGATAGTGGCAAAGGGGAAAGTGAAGGCAGCAGAAAGCCAGCAGTGAGTGAGAGTAGAGCATCTGCTGTGCTTCAGTTTACTTTCTTTTAGGTGGTAATAACTTACCTTACTAGTAAACAACCCAAATTGTGAAGCCGAGTGTCTTTTCCAGAGAACAGGGAGGATTTACCTTGTCAGCCCTTTATACACAGTACAGGCAGTGCTTTTTACCAACCTTATGATGGCTTCTGCAAGAGTTGGTGACATCTCTTCTTCTTCAAGCATTGTGCTGGCAGTTGCTTTTCCCATTAAGAAGAGAGAAGCATAATTCTTGGCTGAGCAGTGTGAGCAAGGTTAAAATAAGAGAATATAAGAAACAGCAGGAGAGGCCTCCATAGGAGATAACATTCACAGTACATATTGTTAGCGTTTGGGCTAAGGATGGTACTCACCTGATGTGGCTGTCAGACAATGGTGTAGCATCTCTGACTGTTGCAAGTTTTTGGAGGTGGCTGCCAGTTCTTTTAAGGACAAATTTTGATTCCTTGATCTGTGCTTGTATTACATTCAAGTTTGATTTAGATTGTGTGCTTCCCCTAGAGAAAAGTGTACAGAGATCAACTCACAAATTATCTAGCAACCTTCCTGGTGCCTCTCTGAGCGTGCCCTAGGCTGAACAAATACGGTAACATGTCCTTGAGAATGCTTCAGCCCTATCTTTGTAGGTTTCCTTACAAGAAATAAGTAGTGTTTTGTTAGTGATGTGAATTTATTAATTTTTTTTATGTTTCCAGCTCGTAATCTGAGTATGGATTTTTATGGATAAGTAAAAACTTAGAGTATTGCAAATACGTCTCAGAACCAGGACAAATACTTGAGGAGCTGCTAATTCATATACTACAAAAGAATGCGGCAAGCATTTTTCCAGAGGGATCAATACTTGTGATGAATTGAAGAAATCATCGTAAACTGACTTGAACACTGGGAAGAAAACCAAATTGTTGAATTAGCTGCAGAAATGAACTTAAGGGGAGGAAAGCACACGAAGGTAATAAAATAGGTATCTCATGCAGGGAATAAATACAGAATGAAAGTTATGTAAATAGAACCTGGAATATGGATAAGACAACAGGAAGCTCTTTGGGCCTGCTGAAGCTGAGAGACAGTGCGCACTGCTTTCTGGAGATCTGTGTGCTTCCCATCTGGTGACTGCCCAGACAAAACAGGAGAACCATCTGCCTTCCAGCTGGTCCGTTAGAAGGTGCCTACTGGGAGGCTCACGTGTTTGGTTGTGGAGCCTGTCAGTCCTTGCAGCCCAAAGATGGGATGTGAGGATCGATGAGGAAAGACAGAAAGAAGGGAGGAAGCAGGGAAAAGAGAAATGCATACAGAGAGGGCTTTTCTGTTCATTAGAAACTTCTGTGTTGTCCGCCTGTTTGCGTGAGGATGTATCCTTCTGATGTCCTTTAAACAAGGAGTAATGGTGTAAAACCAATACCTGATTTTCAAAGCATCTAACATGTGATCTTGCATCCATTTGTCTTAACCTGTGTTAATTAATGAGTGGCAATGAGCTTAAAAGACAGTGTGCAGAAATCTCAATGACTGTCTTGAATGCTGACTTCCCCTGGCTTTCCTGAAAGCATATATAAAAATTATTAAAAGAAAAAGGATCTTAACAGTGTTACTGAAAAGAATTACTATCTGCTAGACAAACAGTAGCTGCCTATAGAGGAGCAAGACAAAGATGGCATCTTGCAGATTTGGCACAGTTTGCTATAAAACCAGAGATATTTGGTGGGACGTTCAAATTTCTTTTGTTTTATGCATTGCTTGTTACCTGCTTTAAACTTATATGAAAACAGTTCATAACAATGTTTAAAATTCAGGAGACCTCCTAACTTTTGTTTCAAAGGCTTAGACTGGCATTTTTTTGTTTGGTTCCTTTGCATAGTGAATCATTAAATCATAAGAACCAGAAGGTTTTCTGTGAAAGTTGACACTGTCCACTCTTTTCTGGTTCGGCATGGGAAGGGCAGCGTCTGGCTGGTTCAAAAACAGCAGGAGAGACGATGGGATGGAAGCTCTGAACCTGGCGGGTAAAGGGAAGGCGCTGGTTCAGTCCCTAATGAGGTTTACTAAGAACAGCAACTGTGTGGGTCCTTTGACAGTCTTGGCAAGGGCCAAGGGTATTAACTCAGTGCAAGGATTGAAATAGAAATAAAGTTTTATTTTTAGCACCGGTCTCTTCAGGGCATATCAGAAACCTGATCAGCAAAGGGAAGTGCCGTCGTGCTTGGCGCAAGGGAGGCGCCACCATACCTGCGCAGTGAGCTTGATCGTGAGCTGGAAGGTGAAAAGGGAGGGTCTGCTTTATCTGGCACGTTGCCTCCTGTAGCGGCCGGCTCCTGGTTGCTCCCGTTGGTTTGGTTTATCCATGGTACGCTTGGCCAGACACATAGTGCTAAATGGTGATGAGGGTGCAGAAGGAAAACTGCTTCCCAAATCACCTAACCATTTTATGTTTCAAATAGCCCTATTTTATTATGTGTGAATGCAAATACTGTTATTGGCCACAAGTGTGGCCTGTACTTTTATCAATTTTAGCTAGAGTATTTAAAGGTAGACTACTGTAAAATAAGCACACACGTTGTGCTGATCACAAATTGTAGTTGTGAAAGCCTTTCCTGACTAGTGTGGGAGGGGAAGCTCAGGATAGAGATGAGATTTAATTTGCTTCTCAGAGAACTTTTCTTCTCCAGGAAGTTTGCTGAATATGTCCGTGAAGGCACCCCCCAGTAATGCAGCATGTGACACAGGTTATAGTGAAACGGTTGTTAACTGGGTTCCTGTTCTGGGTATCCCGATTAATTACAGAAGTATTAGGCTTATTTTACAGAGATAGTAAGATTTTGTGGAAAATTCTTTTCAGTGAAGCTTCGCTCCATAGCAGACTGCTACATTCATTGTTGAAAACTAGGCTAAAAAAGAATATTTAAATGTATTAAAAATTAAGGTTTCTTTTATCATATTAAAGCAAAATAAAATCTGTAGTTTTTTTAAAGGTTGCAGAGTACAACAGTATGCAATTCATTTTCTCTTACTGTAGCAGAATTTGGATTTTGAAAATCACAGTTTCTTATTGTAAATTTACCATAAAATTAACAAAGGCTGTAAAACCTGTCTGTTGACCTGAGACTTGGTGAAGTTAAGCTCGCACATCTTGGGGATACATCCAATGTGATGGCTTTTCCTCTTTTACTAATCTTTTGTTCAAATCCCCAGTCACTTTTAATTCTAACTTCTGTTAGTTGAATGGATTGCCTCTGTGTAACATGAAGGTGCACTCCTGGTGCCTTTAAATCTGCTACTCTCAAATTTGTAAGCACATTGTTTCTATGCAAATAATGAAGCATTGAAGCAGTGAACATAAAGATTTTCACTGACATACAAAAAAACCATGACATATAAAATCCTTTGGCTAAGTATTTCTAGACTTTTTTCACTTCTGTGTCCTTTGCAAGTTGTACTGTTTCCATAACCCACTTTCCTGTTCTGTTGAACCTCAAGTAATTTTTTGCAACTTTAATTAAGATGAACTAATTGCTTTGCAGATATGACACATTTTTTATAATAGATGCCTTCTAATCATGAACATTATTCAAATGTTTGTTTATTATTTTAGATTAATAAATACATAATCCCCTACATCCATTATGACTGGTTTGTTCAGCAAGATTTCTAATTATAAAGTACTTCTGCAATTAAAATAAGATTAAAATTGTACCTGTTTAAATTGCAGCATGCTTCTTATTATAACTTTGTTACAGAAATTTGGATGTTTAAAGCTTCTGAGCATTGAGGCAAAATTCCAGTGTTGCTGTTATCTAAACCTGCTGGTGCTAGGTGTAGGGTGAATTTGTTCTGTTGGGCTCATTTCCCAGCTGGACTGGGCTGAATTGGTTCACGCTGCCTGTATGCCTCCTGTCCTCTCCTCCCTTGCTGGTGGAGACTGAAGACAAGACACAACTGGGTTTCTGTATTTGTCTTAATTTTAAATCGTATTTGAAGCCGTTAGGGTCTTTCAGCCTTTGTGATCTACAAAGGTGTCATTGGATGTAAATGCCCTGACTGTACATTTTTGCTCTCAGAAAAAAGTGCAGTAGGCTGTTTTTCCTTAGACTGTTTCCACATCTAGTTGTGTTGAGACTATATAATTTTGTTGTACTCTGCTTTACAAATTTTTGAGCTAGAATCCCATCTGCATGACGTGCAACAGTGTACAAAATCAGCTTTTTGACTGACACTTGGTCTGCATAGTGAAGTTACAGTGAGCTCTTTTTTAACTGTTCTCTTCACCAATTGGTAATCTTACCGTGTCGCAGTATATCTGGTCTCTGACTTGTTTGAAAAGAGCCTCAGAGATGTATGGGATGGAACTGAGGAAGACTTTTGTTTGGTGCTGCAATGAAAAATTAATTCAAGACATGGCAACAGCTGCGGGTGACAATTTAGAGTTGCTGAATAAGTATTGTAATCTGCATTTATCACTGACATCACATGGGATTAAACACTTTGAGGTGATTGTTCTTGGGCACAGCCTTAGGGAGGGTTATTACCATGACACAACTAGTTGTCATGGCAATGCATGGAGAAGAGGGAGACTCTTCCTTCCTCCTTTGCATTCTGCACTACTCAGTTAAAGGGAAGCCTGAGATCATTGGCAAAGCTGTCGTCTTATTTTAAACGTAACACCAAATTCTACTATTCGTCCTTCACATTATGTTTGAAATCACGGCACATCATGCATTACTTTTGTGGATCACCTTTTCTGTTTAAAAGAGGCATCAACTTCTGCTTTCTCATGTTTGGTTTATTGTGTGGTGTTCTCTTGCTACCCCCGTAGTTGGACTTTTCTGTAAGAGCCAAGTTGATGTCCCTGTATCTGTCAGCCGAGGTGAGAACAAGGTGTCACTGCTGTAAGGACACTCCTGTTCCAAGCTATGCAGGAAAATGGGGTAATGCTGTCTTACAGGTCACCCTGTCTGCTTTCCCTGTAATGCTTCACCTTCCCATCCTAAAAGGTGATTAGTTAAATGCGAAAGTTGATACCAAAATAAAATCTATGGAAAGCGATACAGTAAATTAGTCTTCCTGACGACTTAATGGATTTCATTATTTAGCAAAATTAATATTGCTAGCGTTTCCTTTCTGTATGATTAACTGGGAGTCGTAGCCCTGCAGTTCACTGTACTCACCTTGGCGAAACTCGAATAAGGTAAATGGGTCTCTGCACAAGTGCTCAAATTACTGTTTTGGAGTCTAATTTATAATTAAAATTTATTTTTGAAGATCCAGTTTTAGAAGTACATTGTAAGCATCCATTAATGGTTTACTTTATGCAGCTAATCCACTTTCTGTTTCATGTCATGAAATAATGAAAGGTCTTCATAAACCTTTCCCTGCTTGGGTCTCGTCAGAATATGATTCTACGAGTGCTAATTGACTACTGCATCTGTGTGTTCAGCCTGCAAATAGAGGTGCAGTAGGAAGGAGTTTTTATTATTAAGTGTAAGTCAGACTCATAACTTTGGTAAATACTGGTTTTGTTCTTAGAAAAGTTATTAAATAAGCTTTGGGGTTTTTTTGGAAACTACAGTCCTTTGCTACACATTTTAAAATGCCAGGTTTTGTAACCGTTGTTTTCGGAAAGAAAAGCTATGCTAGGTCTGAAGTCTCATTTGACAAGTTTTTTCTTCTTAGAAGAAGAGCAATCCCAAGTTAGTTGTTTAATGTAAGGATCTGCAACCTCAAATAGATTTTTTTTTTTTTTAAATGTTTATTTTAGATATTTATTTCATGAGTTTTGGTTGTAGAGCTTTTCTTAACATGGAATGATTCTTTCTCACAGTTGCTGCAGCCCAAGCCATAGCAGAAGAAAGAAGAAGCCAAAGCGGCATTAGTCCTATTGCAGTCCAGACCTCAATAAATATAAAAACAGCAACTAAACCAGGTATAATTATTGGTCATTGTTCTTAATGAAGTAATGGGTTCACAAGGGAGAGTTAGTAGGGAATGAATAAAACATCTTTTAAAAAAGAAGTTTGATCAGAGCATAAAGCACCTGGTAGATGGTTTGTAGATTCATTGAAGGTCTGGTTTTGATGACAGACTTTTGCTCTTGATTCACTCAGAGTTCAGTTGCTGAAGTTGCCTATCTTTTCAGTGGGGCATAACAACAAAGATAAATGATTTTTTTTTTGTGCTCTGGTGAGGTTACCAGCTCACTTCTTGCTGAAATTCAAGTTTTTATACCTGCAAAGATTTAAGGAGTCTTGGTTCTACTTAGCCTGCAAACACATTGTCCTATGGCACTTAGAATTTGTCATGACGGGTGAACTATCTGTTCTCTGATTAAGTTTACCTAGATTCCTGTAATTCTTGATCATAGGAATTAATATGTACAAGAATGAAAATCAGAGCTGAATTTGGAATAAGGGTATATTGTTACACATGTCTGACTTCTGCTCAGGGTTTCTTCTGACAGTATGCATTGGGCCTTTTAATATTCTGTCTGCTTTCTGCTGCACCTATTAAAAATAGTGGATTGGTTGTTGTGAGGGAATGGAAAGGGGAAAAGGAGGGTATTCAGATTCTTATAAATTTTTCAGATGACATTTTTAATCTCTATATAGTGTGTGCAGTGCTTTGTCCTATGTGTATTTTTCAGGAGGTTCCATTATTCTTTTGATAGTAAAGACTTTTGACTTTTTTATTTAAATTTGAATGTTCAAAATAACTGACAATTATGTGTCTTCAATTTTTCTTTTGACAGTGATAGATGGTTCCACACTAAGAACAGAAGAAAGACAAAGACTGGCCAGGGAGCGTAGAGAAGAACGGGAAAAGCAACATGGTATTTTGGTGTTTCATTTAAAATATAATTTCCTAAAATGTTTGTGATAAAGAATAACTTACTCTCTTACTCCGTGTTCAGTCACTTTTTTCAGCTTGCAGACCTTGTCTCTTGTCCCCAGCTCTTGGTCTTGCATCAGTGACCACCTGTGAACCTGAAAGGAGAAGTATTAGATTTGAGAGGAGAACACTCCAGAGATTTTTAGCTTCTTGAAGCTGTATGTCACTTCTCACCTTCCGTTTCTTAGTGACCACCAAGCAAATTTAGCCAATTTCTTATTGTAAACCTTAACAACAACACTTCTGAAAGTAAAACTTTTAGCTTAGAACTGCTTCCTGTAGCCCTGAAGACTGAGGTTTGGGGAATGCTGATTCAGAGAAAACAAAAAAAGATTTAGCTAGTTGAATGGCTCGATTGCCTTGAACACTGCTTCCCTTGTTTCCTAGCACACTGAAATGATTCCTGAATTGAAGTGTCAGCAGTATTTGCTTTATCTTAGCAAAGAATCAGAGACCTAGAGAAGAGCATAAAACTCTTGCCCAGCTTTATGCTGTTTGTGATGTGAATCAGTGCACGTATGTGCTGCAAGAGACGAAAGGCTTGCAGTACTTGCAGTATGCCCTGAAGTCCTGGTTCTTGGTCTCCCAGCTTGCAAGGAGTGGTGTGTCTCTGGCCAGTTATTTTCTTAACATAAAAACAAAGGCACACAGCGACGGGAATCATCGTGCTATCTTAATGTGGAGAGAGGATAGGACTAGGATGCATATATGTTCAGAAGTATTTTGGAGGCCTTGTATGTTGATACTGCCTGTGCATTGTTGGTGTAATTATCTGGTCTCTCAGTTCATTTCATCTGTCTAGCCACAGAAAATATTTCTGCTGTGTATTCAACCACTAGCTTTTTGTCACAGGACTTGAAGCTTCCTGTTAAACTGCACACAGCTGTTCCTAGGTGGAGGCAGCGGAGAATAGTGACATAACTATTTTGAATTCGGATGCAGTAACTCTGGGCTTTTCCCATCTTGTCACTCGGTGCTTTAAATCTTCTCATTATATCTTGTTCTAAAAAAAAAATTAAAATCACAACATAGAAAATGCCACCTTTTGATACTCAGCTTACTACTTACTTATTAAGACTTCACTGTTACGATGGCAAGAGAGGTATATGTTTAACATAGGGTATGTGCATATCCTGACATTCCTGTCTAGACAGTAAAGTCTAATGGCAGGAAAGGTTCTAATTTCTGGGGACAGAATTAAAGATGACTCTGTCATCATGTGCAGTGTCATCCCGCGCTGCAGGCTAATCTTGCTGTATGTTTGTCGTGGTTTAATCCCAGCTGGCAACTGAGCCCCACCCAGCCGCTCGCTCACCCCCTGCCCTGCCCCGGTGGGATGAGGGAGAGAATCAGAAGGGTAAAAGGGAGAAAACTCAGGGGTTGCGATAAGAACAGTTTAATAATTGAAATAAAATAAAGCATAATATAATAAATTGTAATTAAAAGGAAAATAACAAAAAGAGGAATAAAACCCAAGAAAAACAAGCAATGCAAATGAAAAACAATTGCTCACCACCTGCTGACCGATGCCCAGGCAGTCCCTGAGCAGCAGCCGCCCCCCTTTACTGCCCCCAGTTTATATGCTGAGCATGACATCATATGGTATGGAATATCCCTTTGGCCAGTTAGGGTCAGCTGTGCTGGCTGTGTGCCTCCCAGCTTCTTGTGCACCCCCAGCCTCCTTGCTGTCAGGGCAGTATTAGAAGCTGAAAAGTCCTTGACTTAGCGTAAACACTGCTCAGCAGCAATCAAAACATTAGTGTGTTATCAACATCATTCTCATCCTAAATCCAAAGCACAGCACTGTACCAGCCACTAGGAAGAAAATTAACTCTATCCCAGCTGAAACCAGGACACTGTTTTAGCTTTAAGTGATGATAATTTTGCTTGGTAGTCTCTTGCCTGTAAGTTGTGTTGTAGTATCAATGAATAGTTAAGTTTGATTTTAACTTTTTCTTAAAAATTTACAGCTGCCAAAGAGACACAAATCCTTGAAAAGGAGAGAAAAGCAAAACTCCAGTATGAAAAACAGTTAGAAGAAAGGCAGCGAAAGCTAAAAGAACAGAAGCAGAAGGAGGAACAACGGAGGGCAGCAGTAGAAGAAAAGAGAAAACAAAAAATAGAGGAGGAAAAGGTACTACGTGTCAAAGTTCTATAGTTTTAAAGAAACTCCTACATTGTTTTCCTACGTTACCGTGCTCTGGAGTGGAGTAAAATAAAAAGTTACAGAAACGGTGAATGTATTAGAACATAAAAATATTTTCCACATCTGTACAGTGGGGTATATAGACACATGTCCTCCTTCCCCATCCTAGGCCTAGCTTTAGCTATACCCAAGCCACTCAGGATTTCAGGAGCTGTGGATGCTGTTTGGCCACTGGTTATTTTTCACATGAGCAATAACCCCACCCCATATTCCTAGATTTCTAGATTCCTTTTGGTGCACTTTGTAGATTCTGTTTGTAAATGAGCGTGGGTGAGAGGTCTTAGACTTTTCTTAATTCTGTGTCTTGCTTCTTGGGAGCCCCACTGTGGCCCAGGAGGCTCACGTTCTTTCAGTTCTTCGAAATTACAGTTTGTTACGATATGTTGAGCAGTTGATAATGTTATCTGTGTAGTTACCATTTGCTGCTTTGAACTGTATTTTGACTGTTCTTACTTGACTCTTTGCCTTTGCTTTGACTGCACGTGGACCAGCAGAGCAGTAGTTGAGTTGCAGAACTTGTTGCAAATTGATAGAAGCCAAAAGTAGAAATACATGAAGTTATGCCATGCCTTTTGAAGAGTAGGTCTGCTAGTGCGTATTAAATGTGATGCAAGTTCTGAAAAGGCATGACGCGCGTGTGCTTTCATAAGGTAGTTGTGAGAACTTGCTGTGGATCATTGATGAAGAGCCTGCAAGCCTAGCTGGCTGTTCCCTTGGAGTACAGCCATTGTTACATTGTTCAAGTAATACATCTTTTTTTTTTTGACTGGCACTGTTCTACACTGATGTCTGGTTATCTGTAATTGGCTTCTGGGTGTGTTCAGATTGATATTCCATTTGAACTTCATGGAATAGTTTACATTGCTGGAGAACAAGCAGAAATGTTTGGGTGGGCCTTGACTGCAGTCCAGTGCAGTATCATGTCTTTAAACAACTACTTTAAGCAAAAAGCATCCCTAGTGCTTCAAGAGGTTTTATGCCTAAGTACATTTATTCATATAATTTTGAGGATGGTGGATATGTTTTAAGTGGCCAGCAAGGTGAATAATCAAGGAAGACAAGGACTAGCCAATGAGTGATTGGTGTTAACCTTGTCTTTTACTTGTTCCCTGGAGGAAGATCACAGAATCACAGAATGGCAGGGGTTGGAAGGGGCCTCTGGAGATCATCCAGTCCAATCCTGCTGCTAAAGCAGGATCACCTGGAGCAGGTTGCACAGGACTGTGTCCAGGCAGATTTTAAATATCTCCAGAGAAGGAGATTCCACAACCTCCCTGGCCAGCCTGTTCCAGAGCTTTGTCACCCTCAGAGTGAGGACATTTTTCCTCATATTGAGATGGAACTTCCTGTGTTCCAGTTTGTGCCCATTGCCCCTTGTCCTGCCACTGGGCACCACTGAAGAGAGTCTGGCCTGATCCTCTTGACACCTGCCCTTTAGATATTTGTAAGTATTGATGAGATCCCCTCTCAGTCTTCTCTTCTCCAGGCTAAACAGACCCAGCTCTCTCAGCCTTTCCTCATAAGAGAGATGATACAGTCCCCTAATCATCTTCAGAGTTTGTACATGGAGAGTTATACATGAAGAATCTGGCAGGTGGGAAAACAGCATGCGCTTGAGCTGTAAACCTTGCTTTCCACCAGAAAGTAAAAACAGATCTTGACTTTGGTACTCTGACATTAGAAAATAATCACTTTTAAAGAAGCTAAGCTATCTTAAGGCAGTATTTGCCAGCAAGATACCATATACAATTGTAAATTTAGTAGATAGAAATGCATGAAAAAATACATAGTCTCCAACATTCTTGTTTGGTACTTCAGCCAAGTCTCATTCAGTTCATAATCTTCTTTAAATAAAGTAGAAGCAGCAGCACAATAGCAAATACTGTGGAAAAAGAAGTGGTTCTCTGCCGAGGAGAGTCCTGAAGATAGCTTGCCATGGCTAGGGTTGAGATACCTGTCCTCTCACAGTTACTCAATTATTCTCTACAGCTATGCAGCTTACTGTGTTGATATCTTGAGCTGATAATTGATTTTCTGTTGTTTGTAAAGTGAATCCTATGTCTTTAACTATAACTTTGAAGAATTATCGTACTGCAGATACCTCCATTGAAATATCATCTACAGATTACATAATGTCTGGGTACTTTGACACCTTAGGTAAACTCTAGTTCAGATTTAACAGGGGAAACTAAGCTTTATATTTTCAACAAAAACTTCTAATTTTATCTTTTGTCAGTGAGTGGAATCCTTCCTCCCTTCCTTCCAAGTTTATTGTGTCTATTATACACTGCAACTTTTTTAGTTTGTGTTGTGAAATTGTGTTGAAAGAAGGTGAAAGTCTTGTGTCCTCATGAGGGAGAAATGGTTGGATAATGAGTCCCCTTGGCATCTTACTGCAATGTATCAGCGGTAAATACTGCTTCAAAAGATCACTTGGGATAAAACTATTTCAGAAGAGAAAGAAATCTGTTGTCAACACATGTATGGAAACCTGACTGAGAAGAAACAGTCTAGGATGGTTACAGTTCATCTTTATGCACAAAAGCTAAAGTTCCCACATTAGCAGTTACTAGTCAGAAGAGAAAGCTTCTTTCAGTCCTCTTTGTCTTGTCAGCAGTGGTTGTTGCTGAGGTCTGGAGTTGGTTAGTCGTTTTTTGCAGATTTGCCTTCATGTCTTGCTATTTCTGGTTTCATCATATCTCTATTAATGCCAGTATCTGTTAAGATTTGGGTCAGTGTTTGTGTAGTTCTCTGAAAATACAAATAACCTTATGCATGGTATTTTATAAAGGAGAATTTTTAGAAATAACTTCAGAATATAAATAGTTTAAAGGGTAAACAATTATTTTTGCTCGGTTTGGGGTTCACCCCTATTTGGAAAATAAGTAGCACTGTTTACTGAATAGGAAATCTGGTGGCTATTTTAAGTAAAGAGTAGAATAGATTATCTGTGCTTTAGCTCAACCTAATCATGTTTGCAGTGCATTGAACCATTAATTGTCTTTAACATTCTTTGGATGATAGTTTTTGTAACAAAAGCTTGTTGTCAGGCAGTATAGGTAAAACACACTTTAAATCATGCTGGGGGAAAAAAATATATTGTCTTCTGTCATAGCTGTGCTTTATAGTTACATAACTTCATAGGGGTGTTGTTTGATGATAGGAGCGAAACGAAGCACTTATGCATCGTACCTTGGAACGGAATCAGCGTCTGGAAACACGACAGAAGAGATGGTCATGGGGAGGGTCTGTAACTCCAGATTCAGAGAGCAAAACCGGTAAGTGGCACCTTTCCTAGCATGGCTAAAATCACAGAATATTATGTGTGAGCACTGGCAGGTGCAGCACTGTTCACAGGGACCTGGGCATCCTTTCCTGTCTTGGATGTCCCAGCAGGATCTATGGGTAGCTCTTGGGAAAAGATTCCCATCTGTCCTTGCCCTGAAATGCTGCTCAGACTTAAAGCTATTTTTGACTTTGGGAAGAGCTAGAGAGAAGCCACATGGCAAATATACCACCTGGCAGCATTGCATTGCCAGCCCCCAACCGTCAGATAAGGGGAATTGCAATGTATAATTTTAAAATAATTCTGAGACCTTCAAATGCAGTGCATGTAATGGTGTGCTAAGACTAATGATAAACAGAAAAAAAGCCCCACAGTTGCACTGTAATATTACATCTAAAATGTTTTAAACACACCCTTAGAGTTATAGAATGCTAACTGATTCTTTGAAAGACCAGTAATGCGTAAGGAGATGCAGTGGGTAGTGTCCAAGCTCCTCAGATAATAGGTTCTGTTCTAGATTAGGTAATGCATTTTAACACTCTTTTTAATTTGAGCTCAGATGTTTTCCTATTTCACACAATTTCTGCTTGTAAACATTCTGAAATCAGACCAGCAAATCAGGATTGCAATGGAAGGGATTTTTTCACGCACTACCTAACTGGAAGACTCCACCAATAAATAAGTTATTGTCCAGGAATAAAATAAAAATTGCTTCAATGCAGCCTGTCTTTTGAATTGGTGGAATTGTACTGAGTGTGTTTTAGTAGTATCTTCTTTTATCAGCTTGAGCGTTGACTTTTCAGTGTTTATTTAGAACATGTTTGAAAGTGCTTTGATATAAATTATCTTTATGATACCCAGGTTCCCTATTTTTTTTGTTAACTTGCATTGTTTGCTATTTTACCTTGTGACTTAGCTTACAAACCTTCTTCTTCTACAGAACAACAGACTGCAGATGAAGGTGGAACTGGTGGTATTGATTTCTAAAATGTTCTTTTTCCATTGTTTCACACTCACTACTAACCTTTTAAACTTGAGGTTTTGTTTCTTTGAAACTGAGGAAAACCATCTTCTTGTAGAACTTTTCCTGGATCTTGGCCAGCTGTGCAACAAATGTGATCCCTAAGTAGAAAGCAGTTCCCTATGTTTTTAACTATCCCTCCCAGCTGATTAAACTACAGCTTAAGTCATGGAATCCTGAGGGAATTTTCAGGGAAAGGCTATGTGCGTTTGGGTTTTTAAAGATGACTGGATACAGCATGGGGGACGGAAAGAGAAATTCTTAGTAGCGTGTATTTGAATGTAAGTTCAGTAGTCTAAGCATCTTTTTTTTTTTTTTTTTAAGGGCAATTTTGAACCCTTTCATTGTTTCCTAATTTGCAAAAAGTACATGGTATGGTTAGGTTTGTTTTCTTTTTGCTTTGTTTTACCAGCAATTGAAGTAACATTCGCAAAATCAAATTATATTTTGCTGAAACTTTGTGAAAGGGAATGGGTCCTTTGTGCATTTTGATACTTTTATCCATGAAGGGTTGTGCAAAATCAGATCTGTCCAATTATCTAAACATAATTCTATATATTAAATGTTTTAATTGGAATTCTGGCACTTTCCAGTGCACAGCCAGCCATTCATAGACATGCTTTGGCTCACTGATACATTTGTCAAGGCTATATGTTTAATAAGCAAAATTATTTCTTGTAGCTAGTTTAAGATGATAGCTCTCAGCTGAGACCCAGCTAAATCTGAATTCTGAAAATCTGTGCATGCTCACAGCATTACTAATTCAATACAGCTGTCTCGTAATGCTGACAATATGAGACTTGAAAATGCAATGAAAGTCTGGCTGAGTGTGATTTAACTACTGTGGCTTATTCTGGCAACACACCAGAAGCATGTGTATTTTATTTAACTTCTCTCTTCCCTTTCTCTGCACAGTATGAATTCCTAATTTTCTCCAAAATTAGCCAGTTTGACTGGATTGTTTTACCTGTTTAACAAGTGTTCCTTGGATACATACATAAATCCAATTACTGTATTCCACATTACCAAATGTCATTTAACCTTGAAACTATGAAATCACATTCGCCTATAATGTTTAGGAAAGCACTGTTATTTTTTTTTCTCCTCTATTCTTTTCTACCTTATCTAATTTTAAAGCTAAACTTTATAACAAACATAAAATAATGTCCTTTGCTCTCTCCTCGTTTATATGAGGAAAAAAATCTTGTCTGTCCTGGAGGAAGACTTGAACCACAGTTAAAAATAAAATGTCTTCCAATAAACATGCTCCTGATGTAAAAATAGGCATTTAAGCTGTACCTTATGAATCATAAAGTAACAACAGGAGGAGTAGATCAGTTCAGCTACTGTTGATCAATTAGAATAACCTGGCACCAATTTTGAAAAAAATGACTGTGGAGATAAACAGATAAGGCAGTGTTTGACTAAGACACTTGTGTATCCACACTGTTTTAAATTTGTGTTCGTCTTTACGTTGAGGTTTCAAACATACAACTGTCTTACCTGGGCTGGATAATGTGGAATGATGATTGGATTCATGCTTCTCGTATTTATTCCCATTTCAGGATCATCCTTAGCTTTTTAACTTCCTGGAAGCTCCTTGCTTAATTGTTATTTAAAATCTACCCAGACCATGTAGGATGCCGAAGTCTAGACAGCTTTCTAAAAAAGTCTTTATTTGGTCCCTTTCACCTTATATTTGCATAATTGCTGGCAAGACAACAATTACATATGAGCTCTGCTACATTATGTGATTGTGGCCTAGTAGTGCACCTTCTCTAACAGCACGTTTAGAGCAAGTTTCAATACAATGTTATTTTTCTACCGTCGGTTTCTGTGGTGGATTTGGGATTAAAGGCTCCATTTCTTAAAATGAAAACCATTGGGGAAACAGATTTCAAATAGTCTTTACATTATTTTAGGACTAAAGGCTTTCTTTTCTGTTGTATTGCTGTGGGGAAAAAAAATCAGACACGTTCTTCCATGAACTGGCTGTGTCGACAGTAATATTTAGGAACATTGACTGGTAAAGCAGCATTTGTGGGTGATGAAGGTAGTGTGCGCTGGAAAGTAAACCCCGTGTAATTGAACATTTCACCAACCATCAGCCGTTCTGCATTGTGTACAGAATGTGATTCATTGAGACTACACCAAGTACCCTGCTGATGGCCTGAAATTTAAAAATTGATGAAAGCTCTGAGTCAAACGTTACAATAATGGCATTGCTGTCAGTACCAAGATGAAACATGCGGGGTGTGGGTCTGCCAAGTGAAATGCAAGGCTGTATGATAAAGCATCCTTGACAGTCCTTGTAAATGAGGGAGGTTTAGTTATGACTGCTGAGCAAAACTAGACGTTCAGGTGCATCTGTAGTGGAGACGTGCTATTAGAATAGAAATTGGGCTGCCAGAGTCTCTCCTTTCTAAATAAAGAGCTTCCTTGTCCTAGTAGAAATTCATAAGGAACCAAGAGACAGATAACCTTATTTTATTTAGCCTGATTTTATCCAGCCTCAGACAGGCAGTGCTCCAGCACCCTCTCTCAGTGAAACTCAGAAGCTAGGTTGAGAGCTGCTCTCTCTAATGATGATTTTCTTAAGATACTCTGTTTCCCAGCTCCTTACCCAATTGCAAGCCTTGCTGCGTGGCAGTCATATGCTTTATTTGGCTTTGCTGCTTCAGTTTGTTTTCCATTAAAAACAACACAGTCGTTTGGTGTTGTGTGGGACTATGCTACGTGTTTCTTCCATTTAGAATCCCTTAATGTAAGTAATTAACTTCCCCCCCAAAATACAAAAGAGTATAACTTACCTGTATAACCAGACTACCTTACTTGAGAATATCTTCTCTGTCTTTTAAAGCTTTTTTCCTAGTGAATTGTCCAAAGCTTTCAGGTTTGCAGAAGCTGTCTTATGGTTGAGGTAGGGAAAAAGTTGCAGCCGTCTAATCGTATATTTGCAAATGTATTGATCAAAAAAGCATTGCCTTCTTAAAATCTTAAGATTTTCTGGGAGGAAAGAAAACTCAACTATCTGTATGAAAAGCCTTCACCAATTGGATTTTTTCAGTCAAGGCATCAATTGGGTTATTAGCTCATGCCCTCACCACTGCTTTCTGTTTCCTTGTAAAATAGAAACTGATATTGGGGGTTTTTTTTGTCTGAACAGTCATATATAGATTGTCATTTTTTCTTTTGAATCTTCTAGTAGAAGTTTCATCCCTTTTGTCTTTACTGAACTGCACAGCCCACCTCCAGAACTTGTAAACCTGCTGGAAAAGAATTGCTTTGCTCATTGTAGTTTTCCTCAAGGCAAGATTTAATTTTCTGCCTTCTGGGTCTTAGTGGGTGATAGACCAAATCTCAGATTTCATGCAAGTGCTAATTTGAACCAAGAGAAATTTGTGTGGAGCACCTCCACGACGATTGAAGGCCTTTGACTTGCATGCTTGAGCTTCTGCGGGAGCCAGGCTTTCTTTTTAAGAGTAGACACTAGAGGGTAGTCTTTCCCTTTGAAAATGCCCAAATACATGAATAATGAGTTTCCTGATTTTCATGTATAAAACCTCTCAAGGCTGTTTTAGTTATCCCAGTACTCAGGCTTCATTCATAAAATGCTTTTTTGTTTTGTTCTGTGTTTTTTGTTATGTTGGGAAAGTATCCACTAAGCTCAGATCTTAATTTCTTACCTAGATTCAGTAGATTGCCCCTTTCTCCCTCTTACCCCATGGGGACCTTGCTCTTGTTCACGGTGACAAGAACTTTGCCTTTTCATAGCTTCAGCTCCAAAATCTGGTTTTGCGGGAGGCCCCTAGCTCAGGACGCCTGGGTTGGGTACATGCGTCAAAAGTATGATGCAGAGGCAGTCCATAGGAATGCTTGTGCCCTGGCTCTTGCTATAAGACACTGCTATAGCATGCTGGCCAAAGGGAAAAGATGCTGCTTCCTGGGTGAGTAGTGCTGCTTTTTCCTTTGGTACGTATGCACTAATGAGTTCACATTAATTATCTTTGCTGTCCAGTATGCCAGCAAAATTGATTACTTGTGTTTGATGTATACAATTTCTTGTGTTTATTATGCTAGTCTGCACTACTTTGTGTGCATTGCCGTTTTCTGCTTATTGAGTTTCCATAGCAACAGCCACATGCTTTTCCAAGGCTTTCACACTGTGGAATAGTGTTCATCCTGAAAGTACGTTATTTGAAATTAAAAACCAGGTATTTATCTGGCTTGTGGTAAACTTGAAATTAAGTGTGTATACATGTGTGTGTGTGTGTATGTATACAAAAAAAAAATGCTTCTTGTGGCAGTTTTTTTCAGAAGAGATAGAAGACTGATAGGAAGCATGAATGTAAGGAATAGCTTTTTGAAAAAAATTGGAAATTTCTAAAATAGAGCAGTCCTTGGGAAGTAATTTGAAATAGGAATGCTTTCTTGCCTTTCCTCAGGACTTGCTTTTATCCCTCCAAAAGTATTTGTTTTGGTTTGGTTTTGTTAACTAGTGATTGAAAGCTTGTTTTGACATACCGGTGTGAAAGGAATGAAGAAAGAAATTACTGTTATTCACATTTCGTTGTTACTTTCTCTGTCTTGCCAGTCTGGTAGCAGCACACAACTTCAGTAGCTTTTGTCTTTACATGTTAGGAGCACAGGGTTTAAAAATCACCTGTTTGCATACATATGCCTAAAATTTTGGCATCGCTCCACTAAAACTAAATGCCTTTTCTGTGCAGGTTACAACTGGTGCTAATTGTATCAAGTCTGTTCAAAGGGGAAAAAAAAAAAAGCTCTGTTTCTCATTAAGCAAAACTGGAAATAGCTTTCAGGATGTAACACTTCCAAAGTTAGCTCACAGCAGTGTGTGAAAGGTTCTTCCTCAGGTATGAAGATGAATTCTAAAGTAAGCACTTTTTTACACAGCCAGCAAGCGGTCCACCTCCACAGCAAACCTCAAACAGACAGAAACTGTCATGAATAAACGGTTGTCATCATCTGCAGCGCTTTTAAATGCTTCTGATCGAAGTAAGTGTTTGTGTGTCTGCTGGTAGCAGGTGTACTGCTTACCTGGTATTTGGGGAGGAGACAGGAGGTGGAATGATACTCCTCTTCCTCCCTTGCAGGGTAACTCACTTCATATTTTGATCTCAAATGCATTTCATGCAGTATTTTAATCCAGCTTGACTGTTCAGGGCTTTGACCCAGTTGATGTGATCTCTGTTAGAGGAGAAGAGTAACGGTAAAAATTGCTGGCTTTTTATTTTTTATTTCTGTAATTGTTTTACTAAAATCAGATCTTGGTGAATGATTGATTCACAAATCATTTCACATCATCTTTACGGGTTTGCATGTCTTAAATCACACCCTAAAATTTCAGCAAAATGGAAATAGCACAAAAATAAAGTTTGGCTTGTTCTGTTAGACAGCTTCAGTTGTTTGATTGCCTGTGGGAAGGAAAAAATCAACTTAGTTGTGACATCTGTCTGTTGTGCCAGTCCTGTACTCTATAGACACACACTTTAATATTAGAATTCTGCTTTAACCAAATAGAGAAGGATCCATGAAAAACTCCCCTTCTGGGAGTTTTTTGGGTGGGCCTGGAATTCTAGCATGATTGTAGTCATAGCGTGTGGCTCTGACACCATTTCCTAGCCCAATAAATTAGTGTAATCTTCATACTGATACTCAAATTATAAATTTCATAAACTGTTAGTGCACACCACTGCTTGCAAACATTCTGGGTTACTTACTGTGCCAATGACTCCTGAGGAACAGAAATGGCCTGGAAGCCAACTATTTCTTTAATTTTATTTTTTTAAGGGTTTCTGAATGTTTGCACTGTAGAGATTGTCTACCAATTTCTGTGGCTTCCAGTCTCATTTTGAATTGCATCTTTGGGGTGGATGAAGCTCCTGACTGCAGCATGTCACATTTAAAATGTGCACCATGCAACTAGTCTTAACAGGGATGTAGAGAATGAGATAGATCTCTGGTTTTCTCACTCTCTGGTAAACCTGTACACGTGAGACTCCTCTCTGCCTCCTCCCCTCTGCCCCATCCTGACACATTCTGTAAATCATGGCAATCTGCCTTCTCCAAATAAAAAACCCCAAATATTGAAACACAAGGAATTGTCCTAAGCTACTTGTTAAGAAAAATAAAAATTATTTGCATGAGCACATATCAACTTGTTTTAGCCTGAGATTTTCTTGTGGGGAATCTTCCCATTGTTTCATATGAGCCTGCCTGTATTCCAAATGTTGATTTTTCCCAAAAATTATGAAAAGCATTAATAAGCTAAGAGCTGTTTTATATGCAAACAAGTTCAACTAGATCTATGCTACATTGTTCTGTCGATCTGTAACCTTTGATCAAACAAGCTGTGCTAGAAGAATCCGTAACATGGACACAGCTAACAGTGATTTTGCTGGTTCATGTTGGAAGGTGATGCAGCAGGAAAACTTGTACACTGTATGCCTGGTAGGGGAATCAGTGAATATATCTATAGTGGCATAGCTGTAGGGGCTCTGAGTCATTGGAGACTGCTTGTGACTTAAAATTATATTTATATACAATGTGTCTGTAGGGTTCAGCTCTGAGGATGAGTCAGAAACAGGGCTGTAAAGTACAAATTAAGCCTCTAACAAAGGAAGTCACTAATTATCAACTAATTGGGATTGCTTTCAAACTTACTGTCATACCTTGAAATCCTTTGTGAATCCTTGTTCACTTGGGAGGAAAAATTATCAGGTGGCCTGAAATACAAGAAATTTGGACAGGACTCCAACTGATGCACACAGTCGGGATGCAGAGGTCGACTGACTGGTTTAGATTACCACAACAAGTCGGAGTGATTCTGTGCTCTTGATCTGGCACTCAAGAAGAAATGGCTGTTGGCTAAAAGATGGCTAAATTCAGATGACAGAAAATACAGTCGCAGAATTAACCAGATTGTTTCTGTTGTGCCTGGGAAGGTGGAGGTGCAGAATGTGAAAATGAGAGGAAGATGCTTGTCCCTGGATCAGTGAAGTATTTAATCATCTGTGTTCTGTGTTAATTCTCTTACTCATACAGAATGTGAGCAATGGCCTTTTTAAATTATTTGTTTATTTTAAAAGGCATACGAGGATGGCCTTGGCAGGTCAAACAAGAAGTCTGTTGAGACTGACATTCTGCTGCTATGATCAGTAACATACAGGAATATAAGAAATAATGCTTTTTATAGAGTAATTCTTCCCTGATCCAGTTTTCCTGCTTCTGAAGGATTCATCCTATAAAGTGACTTAATTACTCTTCTGTATCTTAGGGAAGTGGGGCAGGTGTTGGAGGGGACTTCTAGGCTTTTCAACGTAATTAATCCATGCGCTTTCACTTCCAGGTACCACAAAAAGAAGTGCCTCATTAAACAGACTGAATAACAAAGTTCCTCTACATTCTCAGCAGTCAGCACTCAAAGGTTCACAGGTGGAACAGAAAGGTGCTAGAAACCAGTTTGTTTTGAGAAGTGGGAGGCAGTAAATGGGATATTTGAAGTTGACTTTAAACCATGTCCCAGTTTCATTATAAATGTTTTTACTCAGGCTTTCGCTGCTGTGCATGTGGTCTATGCACTGTGGCATAAATATCATTATGCACATTGCAGTGCCAGATATTGGGTAACTGTGTCTGTAAACCAGCTTTATTCCTCTGAAAAGTGAAAGGGTGGGGGGACAGTAGACAAATGGTAGCCCAAACCATTTAGCTCATGAGAAAATAGTGCTTCATAATGATAGATCGGTGGTTTTAGCAGATTGGCAAAAGCAAAGCATGGGAATGGCAATTTAGAAAATCATATATATAAAATCTTGTTAAAAATAATCTTCCTTACGCTTGGTCTCTAGGAGGAACAGAAAAGAAGAGGAGCACATCTTTGAATAGAATGAGTAGTAAACCCCAGTCCTCTCCAGAACTAGAAAAAGTGAAAAAGGAAGAAAAACCAGGTGGTTGTTTAATAAAGCTGAATATTTCTGTTTAGATAGGCTTACTTTCATGAGTTTCCTTGGTTCTTAAATTTTTAGGACTTTTTAATGGCTTTTTAGTTATCCAGTGGTAAAGATAAAATTGTAAATGGTAAAGGTTAAGTTTCTCCCTTTGGACAAAAAAGAAACACAGTAAGAAGGACTTTGTTAAGTGGCACTGTAAGTAGATAGCACAGTCTCTCTCTGCTTGAGATACATATTTGAAAGCTGGTAGCTTTAAACGTAAGATATAGTAAAAATGTCACTGATATGTTCACTTCTTAGTTAAATCTTTCCTTTGCTTTTTAAACTCTCTTTCATTATTCAATTTAAAAGTGATTTCTCTGTTCCTGCTGCTGGCCTAAACCTTGTGCATGCAAATGAAGAAAGAAACCTGTTCTCACTTCAGTCTCTTGTGGTCTGTGTATTCCCCACTTGGTTACAAATAACCTCTTTTCTAGGAACTCTTCCTAAAGCTGAAGACTAGCAACTTTTCTAGCATGTTTTTTCCTTTTGAGTTAACAATTCTGAAACTTTCCTTTTTAGGAGCTATTGCCAACAGTGGAAATTATCTTCTGCTTCAGAATCTTTCCTGTATGGGAGGATGATGGGTGCTGTCCATGTGAATTTGTATGTGCAAATGATGCCTGACGATAACCATTCGTTTTGACTTGGAAGTCTTCTGTTTATTATGTCAGAACAGCCTTTCCTACAATCTAGAGAACATAGCTCTGCAAGAGCTGGGTCAAAGACTTTTCATACTTTGCCTGACTTCAACATTCATCTCTGTTGTATGCGTGCCAGTCTTTGCACATTAAAATGATTAGTGTTAAGCAAGCTGAGGACAAGAAATGCAACATAAGAGATTGGAGCATTTAACCCTTATGTGCTTTTAGTTGGGATTTCCCTCTCCATGACTTCAGTATTTTTCTTCCAAAACTGTTATGATTTGCAACGATGCTCACAGTCTTCCTTTTCTTTGTACTGCTTGTCTTTTTCATTATATGGTTTCATGTTGGATCCTTTTTGATTTGTTCCCATCATTTAGCTCGTCGCTCCCAGCTCAGTCCTCTGGACAGTAGCGTAATCAGTCGCCTCCTCGCCCCCACACAGGCCTCCTTAGCTAGGAGTAAAAGTGCTGCTACATTATCGGCTGATGGACAAGATCCCTCAGGTAACAGGAGGGCAGCAAAGCCTGAAAGTTTTATGCAGTTGCTCTTCAAGCAAGAATTTACATGATAGTCACTAACTGTGCTACACTTCAGTATGAATCAGACAGTTAATATATGATTATGTATAATATTACTTATCCAGTATTGTTTTGGGTCAGTAGTAACCAATTCATATGCAGTGTTGCATGTTTACTTGACAAAACCATAGAATAATACTGGCTTTTAAACTCCAGTGCCAGTTTACTTGTTCTGCAGAGAAACAGATGCTGGTGTTCGTTTTGGATTTTGTGCTTTGTTGGTTTTTTTTTTAACTGACAGAGATCTGCATTTGGGTGTACCCTCAAATGAATCTGAGACTTACTGGTCAGAGAACAGTGCTAGGAAATGAAAGGGAAAATACCCAAACAAATATATAATTTCAAAGGAGGCTGAAAGGAATAAGTGCAAAGCCTAAATTTCTTTAGGGGGAGAAACTCTTGTAGGAACATGACAAAGGGGTTATCTTAATATTAAGTGCAGGGTGCCCTGAGCCGGCTTCCCTCAGGCTGATTGTAGTAGAGGCATACTAGAATGAGAAGATATTGTAGAGAAACCCTGGCTGGCTCAAGCAAATTCATATTTGTCCAGACTGAGCTGATAAGCCCATGCTGTGGCCTAACTTAGTACTAGCACAGGAATCTGTATCATGGGCAAGCCCTAGCTGCTTCCCGCATGTCTTATAATTGTTACTGGTTATAAGAATGGCCCAGTAAATGCATATCTGGAACCAATGTGGAGTCCTTTCTCCTCTCTTACCTTACAACCTGCATTCCCAGTTTTGCTTGTTTCCTCTTAAGTATGTTCTTCCATCTTTTTTTTTTTTTTTTAATGCCACTTAACTTGGTCCTTGTTGGTAATGGTGACATTTCTACAGTTCTCCCCCTGTGTAATGATCAGTTTTTACTTTTTTGGTTTGTAGTCAGCAGTCATATTTTTGCACACCTATCTATGTGCCACTTTTATTTTACCATGAGTATTTCAGTTAATGTCATGTGGGGAAATACCATCTTTTTCACTGTCACTGACAGCATGTGACTTACTATTGCTGAAATAAAGGCAACTTTTACATTTTTATCAGTTTACTTATAGGTACTTGCTTCATTTCAGTAGAAACATTACCTGTGCTTTAGCACAAACTATGCACAAACAGAATGCAGTTCTCCTTGCACAAATGCTGTAAATATAAAAATAAAATGTATTTTCCATAAAGTTACAAAATTAAGTGCTGCCATCTGTCACAATTTATTCAGACTATAGAAAAATCCAATATCTAGTCTCAGAAGTAGATTTTTACATCTATGTATGCTTATCCATCTATTATTACGTTAGTGAAAAAAGTAATTAGAAGATACAATTTCTTTCTATCTTATATGTGAAGAGGATGACACTTCAGGTAGGAAAGGTATTTTAGTTTAACAGTTGACCTTTTTCTCTTGATGGGTTTCTTTTACACCACCTATTTTGCTTTGTTAATGTGGATAAAGGGCACACATAGATAGTAATAAAGGAGTCAGAGAGGGAAAGTAGAATAAAATAATGTTGCACAAGTGCTTATTTCACAAAAAAAATTTATAAAGTAATGCTCAGATTCCTAATGTAATGCTGCTTTATAACTACTCTTTAAAAAGAAGAAAGATTTCCTCCTTGAATATGGGGGAAACACACTTAAAATTTGAACCTGTCATGGAGAACTTGTAAAGAAAGATGCTAAGCCATTAAACCTGAAGTATTTGTGATTAGATGCAGCTTGACTAAAATTAAAGTAACACTGGTGTATTGGAAATTTAGATGTCATTTGGAAAAACATTTTATTTTTATCTATTCCAGACTGCTGCTTTCAAAATGGTTTTATTCTTGGTGCTGTTGCTTCCAAAGTACTAATCGTGTGGTGGTGGTGTCTGTGTCCGTGACCCATTGCAATGTGCACTGCCTGTGGTGTTTCTCTGTACGGTTTCTAACACACAACAATCTTTCTTTCTCTCCTTTCTCCCTCTTCTTTTTTTTTCCTATTCTTATGCTGTGCACTTGGTTCTCGTTTTGTCTTGTCAAATTCCTAACTTTTATAGACTCTCACCTCTGTCCTCGTTCAGCTTCAGCCAGTTCCATCAATTCCCCAGTCCCAACTCCTAAAGTGCCCGTGCGCAGTCGTAGCATCGACAGGTTGAAGTCCTCTGTATCTTCATCTGATGCAAGTTCACCAGATTCAACCCAGGTTTGTTGAAGATCCACAGGAGTTAGGTTTGTATTAATCGGGGGGGTTGGAACAGCTCGGGATAGGATCCTGTTTCAACAGTTCACTTGCTTATTGAAACGTTCAGTAGCATTTGCTTGAAAAACACAGCATTGAAATCAAATTGGGATTTTTATGGTCCTTGATCTCTCTGGTATCTTAAAGGCATGCTGTTTGCTGCTTATGGTTCCCAAAGTTTAATTTAGGTAACATACTGACTGGGTCTATATTTTGGAACATAAAGGAAATATAAATTACATCATATTCAGAAGTTGTACGTTTGTTGTGGTAGCAGCTCCTTTGTCTGTAAAGTATTCTAGAGAGTGAGCATTACTTTGTTTTTATGTATCTTAGAAGTTAGAAACAGAAAAACAGTCCCCAGGTTCCGGTTTAAGACGCCCTCCCTCGCCATCTGTGTCTGCCCGTAGAAGATCCCCTTCTCCTGCTAATTTGGTGAAGCGTCCTCCATCACCTTCTACCATTAGGTATGTGTCTAGGTTAAATACCTTCTTTTATTCAGAAGAAAATGAAGGCTGCTTCCAGCCTCAGACAACCGTGCTGTTAGCACATGGATGACCTACGCTATGCCATGTTGATACACATAAGCACTTCGCTTTTGATCCGATTTCTCTTTTCCACACTAGGGCTGCAGCCCTTACTTGAACCTTTATCTCTTTTGTGTAGACAAAATGCAACCTGGTTTTCTGTACAGTCTGTGCACTAAAACAGACAGGAAGCGTGCAAGCTTCTGAATAAGATGATCTGCCTGTATTTTCGTAGTTTCTTGGATTGGAATCACAGGGTTCATCCTTGATGTGGAGTAAATGGAGGTCTGGGCTAGCAGACCTGTTTTGATATTAGCCCACAAGTAGCAAGTCCAGGTGCCCAGGGTATTTTGGAATCATGTATTTGAGTTTTATGAGGAAGGCACCAGTAGTTTGTGTGTGGATTTATTTTTAAAAGTGAGGTACATAATGTAAACTAAACAAAGTAGACTGCTGTCCTCAGTTTTGCATGTTTGAGGGTTTTGGTGTTAGCCCTGAAAAATATTTTTTTTTATTTCAACAGACAAAAGACTCGTCCACCTTCGCCTAGTGTGTCAAAACAAAGACCACCATCTCCTACTCTAGTCTCTAAACCAGCACCCATCCAACGTCCACCTCTCACACCAGGTGTTATAAACATCACCAAAAAGAAAACTGAAGCAGAGAGCAAACCAAAGGATAAGAGCACAGAAGGAATAGGACAAGAACAAGGTGCTTCACCAGCCTTGGACAGGGATGCGGTAGCAGCTAGCACAAAGACCAAAGAAGGTGAGTATTTCTCAGTGGCTGACGCGCTCTTATTCAGGACATCTCCAGTGTGTGCTAGGACTGGTGAAATAATTCATCCGTGAGGCAGACCACTGGAGAGTAGGGCGCTGTGAAGCAGATGATGTTCATTGCTGATTATTTATACAAGAATTTTACGTTGTGTGACTTTTGGGTATGGATTTTAGTGCAGTAGTCCGTTTATTTGACTCGAAGGTTTAAGTCCAGAGCTTTCAATATTATTGTTTGTACTATAATTTTAGGAAAAGCAAAAATCTTGTTTGCCTTTTGGACTTCAGGCATGCTGGTTGAGATATCTACTAGTTTAGGTTTGCAAAGTCAATAGTTAAACTATGCAAAGGTCTTTCAGTCCAGCTGGTAGTTCTTAAAATCACTTGTGTAGGGACCTGCTTGGAGGAAGAAATCAGCTATTAGTGCATCACAGTCTGAGCACCAGCTTTCGCAAAGCTGGAAAGCTGCGTCAGTCTTGATTCCAGTGAATGTATAATCATTGCTGCCTCAGGAAAAAGCAGTCAGTTCACGGGTCACACTGAGACGTTACCTTGGTAGATTAAGGAGAGCCATATACCAGATAAGCAATTAGTCTTCCAGTCCTTTTCATCGTGCTAAGTAAGCACAGCCTCTGTCCCTCTTACTGGAAGAAAGCCATTTGCCATCTCCAGAACAGAATCTGGGAGAGCCTTCTGATGAGGTCTGGCAGGCGCTTCTCTGTGGAGAAGGACTTAGGAGAGACTTAACAGGGAAAGGAGGGATCTCTGGAGTTTAAACTGCAGCCAATGGGCAGTACTGAGGGTGAAAATCTTTCAGATGCAAGGTGAGTGGGATCATATGCTTGATGCCCGTTACTGCATGTACAGTTCCTGTTGTGCATTCCTCAGCTGGCTCAGTTGTCTGTGATTTCTGAGGCTCTTCCTGATCCTACCCAATGTTGGATGTGAAATAGTCGGCTGAAGAAGTCATTTATGGTACGGTTCTTTCGGCATATATTCCTGTAGAAGGAAATCTGGATGTTGTAGTCCAGTGTGGATGTCTCTATGAAGTTGCACGTCCATCTTCAGTGTCATGTCATTCGTCTTTGCAGTCAGAATGTGCATCCCTCGATGTGCTACATTACTGCAATAAATGCCTTGCATGCCTTAGAAGGGGCGTAATCAATTGTAATCAATGTCATCACTTGGTTGAAACCTCCATAACAACATGTCCTATTTCTGTATCTTCCAGTTGTTCTGGAACAAGAACACTTGTCCTTGTTCCTTGGATGCCCCACCTGTCTCCTCTCCACACTGACTTCTGGAACTGTATTAACCCAGTTTATCTGTTTCCATTTTAGTTTATTGCTAATGTCCAATCTAGTTGTCTTTGGAGCAGATCACAGTGGCTGCGGGTGAAGCTCCTTTTCTTTGACATGTACAAGATAAGGAAATAGTGGCCATGTTCTTCAGCCTAGAGATGGTCTTATTTATCTCTGTGAATGCTGTGGTACACTGCAATATTGCCAAGGCAAAATCTTTGTTCTTAAAAAGTTGATTTCAGTTTTCAAGGCAACTTTGATTTTACACGTCTGTTCACCCTGTGGGTTGGGGCAGTGCTGTATTCCAGACAGCTTCTGAAGTCAAAGTGCACCAGTGAACGGCACGTGGCAAATCAGTCTCTAGGTCTTGTAGGTTCAACCTAATTTCGGCTTTGTGCACTTGCATCTTTATACCATCTCTTCTCCCTCAAACTAAACTTGATTGCCTGTTGCTGACAAACAGCAATCAAGTTTTTGTCTTGTTTTTTGTGTTTTCCTGCTAAAATATATTGTTCTGCAGTAAAACACTTTCTATTTTTCAGTGACTTGGAGCAGTTGTCATTTCTGGCAGCAGCATTTCGCAGCTTCTCTGAGAATTAAAAGGCTTGTTTCAACTTAAAGCATAAGAAGTGCTCCTTCATGAGCTCTCACCTTATGCATGATGATAGATGATGTCAACCAATTTTGATACGACTGAAATTCCAATCTGCTGCATTGTTCACTGTGCAAGTGCTTAATAGAAGATGGCCTCTGCTGTAAAAAGTGACTAGTCTAAACGGGCCAGACGCTCAAGTGGTAGAGGAGAAGAGAGGCATTTTGATTTTTTTCATGATTGTATACTGGCAACAGTGAATAAAACCTCCCGCCTTTTCTTTATAAAAAAATTGCAGAATATAGGAAAAAAAGCATTTCGTACATGCAAGTCTCAAGTAGGCGGATCCTGCTGATGGTTCTTACAACTGCAAAGGACTGATCTTTCCTGCTCAGGGAAGAGGAGGAGGAAGAGGAGAACCACTTTTGACTGAGTTCAAGTTTGGAAGTGTTGTGGCTGATTCTTGTATCACCATGACTGCATTTTTGCCCAAATCAGAAGCAATGTGTGTCCTGGGGAGGTGCTGCTTTTTCAGCATTGGATATATCTAAGTTTTAGAAAGTTTTTCTGTGAGTGCACTCCATGTTTTTCCTGGGACTGCAAGAACAATTTCTATGCACAAAATGCTGCCATGATTCAGCTGCTATGGGTGTACTCTGTGTAATTATGCCCTACAGCTGCAGGTAGTGATTATGTGTCCATGGGGCTTAAGCAGCTTTTCAGGTATTAAAGTTCCTAATGACAGCTTTGTGTTTTGAATTAATTTGTCTTTAGGTCAGAAGCAAAATAACTGATGAAACCCTGATGTCATTGTTCATTAAAATTACCTTGGCTTGAAGGTTAATTTATAATAGTTAAGCAAACATATATGTGTTGATTTGTGAAATACTAAAAAGAAGAAAGGTCCTCACTTACATTAGGCTACTATTTGCTCTGCTGACACCAACAGCTAATTCTCTGAATATTCAGATGATCTCTAGCCACATTCAAACAGTAATATTTCTAGAGAGTGGGCATAACTGATAAAAATCAGAATTCTTTCAATATATATTGAGAGCAACTAGACAGCAAAGGTGTTTTTTCCCTAATGTTAATTCATAATTTATATAAATAATAATTTAAATATATATAAAATTGACAATATTTAATTTATAGTATCTCTGATCATAACACCAGGCAGGACGTGAAGAAACAAACTGCAAGACTCTACAAATATCCACTAACCTGGTGGCTGGAGCTGTTTCGATTGCCATGAAAATTGGGAAATTTATTTGTTGCTGAAATGTGTAGAAATATGGTATTACTGAAGTCATTAGTATGTGCCTTCAGGGCCAGATAACATGGTGATTATTTGCACCCTAAGATGCTCTATAAATATAAAGGCATGAATGTTAATGTTATGAAATAAGAGAAATAAAAAAAAATTACTGTTTCCTCGTTAGGGTCATGTGCATTCAGTTGTATCAGAAGGAAGTGAAGTGTATTTCCTAAAGCAGTATCTTTTTCAATTTTCTTTTAAATGTTTTTAAATGTTAAAGAATAAATGTGTCTTTTTAGAAATATGTTAAAGAATAAATGTGTCTTTTTAGAAATATGTTTTTAAGTACTATGGTAATTGGTGAATACCTTTAACTGTATCATCTGGAATATGGCTGGATCAGTGTAGTTTAAATGAGTTGTTACTACTTCGGTGTCAGTGAGATATCGTGATTCTGCATCTCTTTAGCACTCCCCTTTGGCTCTTGTGGGCCTTTAGATACAGGGTATACTTCCTGAGTGATGAAGCACTGATGAAAAGATAGTGGGTCAGTTGGCCTAAAGAAAAATCTCATCTCACAGTGATAATGTCTTTCTTAATTTTAGGTTACTGGGAGTTTTTAACAGCAATTTCTTTTAACCTTTGCAGAATCAGGTAGCAAAACAGTAGCAGGGACCACCACAGCTGAAGAAGCTGCTAAAATCTTGGCAGAGAAACGACGTCTAGCACGGGAGCAAAGAGAGCGTGAAGACCAAGAAAGAATTCAGAGACAGGAAGAGGAAAGGTAACAATTTGGGAGAAGGAAGGGATGCTTTCAGTGGTGGGGTGTGGTTATCGTGAAATAGTCAACTTCTGTATATTAAAATTCCCTTTGATGAACTCAGGCAGTGGTTTGATGGTACATTAGGTCTCACATTAGTGATCCTAAATCTGGATCAGAAATGTTGCAGCCAAGTAATTCAAAGTGATAAATCACTATACATTTGCTTCACTGCGTAGAAGTTGTTAAAAATAATTAACTTTGTGCTGACTAACTTTATTCCAGGTTAAGGCTCACTTGTCTGTGCCATCAGATTTGTTGTGTACGTCCACATGATTTGACAGCATACACCTCCAGAATACCTGGAAGTTGGACTATAGAAGAAATAGGCTTTTCGAAAATCCAACTAAATTTATGTTTGACAGTGACTGAAAGCTTCATTCATGTCATGGATGCAGGTGGCATTTATTAAATAGTTGTCACTTAATCCAGTTCTCAATCAAACATTCCACTATTGCAGCAACCTGCCTTGGCCTTGACTTAATCAGCAAAGAACATTTATGTACTCATAGATAGTTTCTTCCAAGTTACTCTGCTTTTTCCTTTGATGGGTCTGGATGGTGGCATTTGTAAATCCACACCAGAAATTAGCTTTAAGCAGTTATTCTGTGATTGGATAACTTTAGAATTTTCTTGCTTTCCTAGTCTGTCTTGTGCATGCACAGGTTTAAAGAAATAAATATTCAGTTGGTAATCTGTATCTTGGAAACACTAGAATCAGAGAAGAAGAAATGGCCAAGAGAGCAATTGAGGAAAAAGCACGACGGGAGGAGGAGCTCCGCAAACAGGAGGAAGAAAAGAGACTGGCTTATGAAGAACAACAACGACAAGCTGAAGAGGAGAGGATCCGCAGAGAACAGGAAGAGCAGGAAAAACTTGTAGAGCTTCAACACCAGGTCTGTTTATCTGTAGGCTCCAACTGTGTTTTTGAGGGGGTTGTCTTTGATTTTCTTTCACAGAACATTCCTGACAAATCAGGAATGAGGCAAAGCAGAGTTCATCCTATCTGAGATGGATTTGAGAATGTCTTGAAGTCCTTTCCTTGCCCTAGTCTATGTGGGAAATTTTTGTTTTGTTTTATTTTGGGTTGGTTTTTTTTTTTTCAGCATCTGATAAATTCAAGTGTGGGGCAGAAGCAGATTTTTTTTTTTTGAGCCACCTGGGATGCTATTGTGGATATGTAAAATACTTGTACTGAGCCCATTTTACCAGCTTACTGCTGTGGATTATAAGGAGGTGGTCTGTCTGGAAGGCCATCTGGCTTGCTCTGATTCCTTTAAAAGAAAGATTGGTCGTGGTTCCCAGTCTGCTTTTCCGGTTGCTAAATAGCCTTCCACAGCTAATACATGTACCTTTACAAAGGCATCCTTCTAACTGCAGGGAGCTGTTTTTCAGAAAGTGGACTTTCTTTAAATGAAATTAATTTTGAAAATTAAAGCAGTTTTACAATGAACTTCTTTGTGTTTGAAGAGCTGTATCTTACGGATAGCATTCACATGTCTGAGCGTTTCTTTAGAGGCTTGTTTATAACAATTATTCAGAGTGTTAACTATGCTTCTGTCTTCTTTCCAGTCATACTGGAAAAGATTTTCCAGTGTAGAAGGAACGGAAGATGCTCAGTACCAAGTATCTTGGTAGTAATACTTGACTGCCAAGATTTTTAAGTTAACCCTGCTGCATTTAGAATTTAATTGCTGTCTTGTTACTTTATAAATTATCCTTCCTAGACAAATCTTCAACCTGAAGTATAGTTTGAACCCTGAGCAGCTCAACAACATCCAGAACATTGGCATAATGACAATATAGCCGCAGACACAATTTTTCTTTTCAGATCAGTTTCTGAATGTCATAGTAATACATATTTCATGTCAGTAGCTGGGTAATTGGCATTTAGCTGCAATGTATGGTAATATTAAATAGTGACTGTCTAATGTTCCTGTCTGTGTTGTATCAGAATCTCTGTAACAGCTCTGCTTTTAACTCTGGGGAATGAGTTGTGCACTGGGTGCTCTCTACTTTCTTTGTTTTATTTTCAGAGAGAAGAAGCTGAAGCAAAAGCTCAAGAAGAGGCTGAAAGACAGCGACTGGAAAGAGAGAGAATTATGCAGCAAAATATGCAGGAAAGGCTTGAAAGAAAAAAGGTATGCTGTTTTGAAAGCAGAGAAGTTTCTCAGCCTAAAGTAGTGGTGGAGGTGTTAAACCGAATGGGCAAACTGTCTCGGATGTATTTAAATAGTACTGTGTTCTTTCAAAAAAGCCAACTCTGTCTTGTGAGCTTTAAAAATGGTGAAAAACGTAGTAAATGTATGAAATAAGAAAAATATATTATGATTGATTAAAATATAAAATAAAATTAAATAAAATGAAAATTTAAAGCTCTGTATGTCATTGCAAATATTTTCCCTGTTTTAACAGAGAATTGAGGAAATAATGAAAAGAACACGAAAATCGGATCAAAATGAATCCAAGGTACTTGTTTGGATCTGTGTAACAACAGAATAGGCCTTTCCCAGAGAAGGCTTTGCCTTGTATCTCCTCTTCTGTTACCCTTACACAAACTGGCTTCCACATGAAGTGCGAAGGTCTGGTGCACCAGAATAATTTTCAGTAGCTTCCCATTGCACACATTCTTCTGCTTTGCTTGTTCTGACCAGAAGTCTTTGATGCATTTTTGTTCAAGGCATATAGAAATAATGTGATCTGGTGTTATTGCTTGCAGATTGGTTAAAAAAACCCTGGTTAGTAATGGATTTTATTTTTTTTTTAACTACACATTCTGCTGGGGCTATTTTTCCACAGAAAACTTAAATTCCTGGCTTTATCTGTTTGCTTAAAGCAAATCTTGGATGCCTCTTGGATCACTACAGTAAACGGGATGTATTTTTCTTAATGTAGTGACCTAAAGTTTGTGGTAAATTATGCATATTATATTGAGGAGTAGTCTTTCTTCTCTGAACATCCAAAGACCCAAGTCTTCATATAGCTGAAAAATCAATCAGTATTTAGCACACACCTTGGAAAAATGAGGGGGAAGGAACTGCAGAATAGTTCATAGGAAGGAGATGGAAGTGGGTCCCCACATTCCTTTCCAGGCTCTGGCTCAGCAGAGCATGTGTTGCTGGGTGACCCAATTGTCTATTAGCCTCTGGACTAGTGTGGCCTTACCTGCTGGGCACAGAGTAGTCCCGCGTGGGAGCTGTGATTGAACAATTTGCAAAACGCTAGACAGTAGCAAGTTATTCTGAATAACACTCCAGCAATTCAGTTGCAGAATGAAGGGAAGTCTGTCTCCGAGGCTATCGAGGGAGAGGATATTGAAGAGGAGGAAGAGTTGGGTCTTGAGAAGACTGATCAGCCAGGTAAGGAAACTTGATGACTCAGGTCTAAGTGACAGTCAGTGTCTCAGTGAGGTTTAAGCATTGTTAAAAATGTTACTCACTTAACACTGGGATGGTGTGAGACACGATTCCAGAACGGCCAGGGAGGCTCCCTGCTTGAACAGAGTGGATCGTTGCCTGTTCCATACCGCAGGAGACAGGCATAATGATTAAATGCAAAAATTATTTGAGTGTGAAATGCAGGCAGCAGGCTTTCACTTTACAGGTGTATTTTTAAAGATGGAAAACAAATTTCATGTTGTTATAGGCAGCTTGTCTATTGAGAAATTATTCTATCAAAGCCAAGTGCCTTGAGTTTTGGCTAGGAAAGGTCATTTTGGCACTTGTATTTTATTCATTTAGAATAACAGTTCTGTTGCTGAAGCTCTCTTTCTTTCTTTTTTCCCCCCACATTCAGGAAAGCTAAATGGCATTGACTTACCCCAGGAAGTCAAGGCAGAGGGTTGTTTAGAGACTGCGCAGAGCTTGATCTCTGCAGAGTCTGAGGAACAAGATGTGTCAGCATTGAAGGCCAGTGAAGTATTTATGAATGGAGGCGATTTGAAAAGTAACGAGGGGTCTCTGCTTGTTACTGAATTAAAGGATTCCAGGTGAGTGTGTGTAGGTGGCTGCTTTACTGTCAGAGCAGTTATCCATCACAGGAGAAATCCCTCTCTGTGTTTAAATTAAATTTAGTGCTGTATGTAGCATTGCATCAAATTTTGCACCCCGCTAGCTTTGTGGTATTTCTCTGGCTTGCTCCAGGCATGTGGTGTGTGCATGCTGTCAGTTTACCGCTTCATGCAGAGGCAGTTAGTTCAGGATAATTGTTTGTTTAGATGGCACCATGTTAACAGTACTGGCTTTGCTAAGTGAGACACATAGCCAGCAACTAGTGTTACTCATAAAGAACAGCATGAGCTTGAAATCTTTTCTCTTGAAATGGCTAGTGGTTCTTTTCCTTAACAGAACATTAAACGAGGGAGGGGGACAACACTGAAAAGGAAGAATAACCTCCAGAAAGCTCTAGAACAGTTTCAGTTGCGCTGAAACACCAGATACAACACAAAAGCCTCTCTTAATGGGAATTTTTTTTTAGTATTTCAAATTTTATCTTTTTGAACATAAAGCATTTCCATCTACTACTGGAAAATCTGTCCTCTCATGCTTGTTCCATGTGCTCATCTAAATGCTAATGATTTAGATATGACATTGTGAACTCTTTTTTCAAAGTGATGATAAATTCTTCTCATTCTTCCAGTGATGGAATATAAAGACATTTTCATGATTTTCTTAAGAATGAATGAAGATTGATCAGTCTGATTTGGGTTTAGATTTTTGAATCTGTTTTAAATAGTGCTAGTCCTCTGTGGCTCAATTTTATGTTTTGAAAGTCTTAACTGGAAAGAAAAAAGGAAAAATGCACACTACTAGAATAAGATTTTAATCATAGAATCTTTAAGGTTGGAAAAGACCTCTAAGATCATCAAGTCCAACCACCAACCCAACACCACCATGTCTACTAAACCATGTCCCAAATTGCCATGTCTACATGTTTTTTGAACACTTCCAGGGATTGTGACTCCACCACCTCTCTGGGCAGCCTGTTCCAATGCCTAACCACTCTTTCGGTGAAGAAATGGTTCAGGCTTTAAACTTGTTGCTTTCTTATATCAAATCTCTGGAGCCAGACCTTACCTGAGAGCTGTTAGTGTGGTAAAAAGTTGGTATATGTTGGTGAGTCATTCTTCCCCATTGGCTCTTAGAGGGGAGATCCTGCGTGGCAGCTGGAGGGGCTTGTCTGGGAATGCCCTTCAGGATACTCAGTGCTTTGCAAAGTACCCAGACTGCTAATAGGCTCTCCTGTAATGAATCTAAAGGTTAAACATCCAGAAATTGTAATGCAAGTATCCATTCTTCTTTGTCTAGCCATCCTGCAAAAGAAATGGTTATCGATGACTCGGTGAAGTTGGGTGTTAATGAAGCTGATCATACAATTGGACTTACTCAGAATCTTAATGGAAAATCTGATTCATGGACTTTAGAGGAGTTTATCGACATTGGAGTACATTCCAAGTCAACCAAACTGAGCTTAGACAGCATCTCTGCTGGTAACTGTAATCAAAACTTGAATGATGCTGCTACAATACCTTCTAGTCCCAAATTGGCTTTTGAGGAAGACGGTGCAGTGAATTCATTGACCAAACCTATAGACGCTTCGTCAGGTAATCCCAGCTGATTTCCCTATCTGTCTCTTCCTCTGGCTAGATAATTAACTTCCTTGCATTTTACTCTCCTTGCCTTAACTTCAGCTTCTTTCTTTGAAGGCACTTTTTCCAATGTGTAGATGAGAGGGAAAGCTTTCTTTATTGCTTGTAACTTGCGTTCTGTCAAAAGGACTCGCCAAGTGATGCCTTTGTAGGGACTTACTCTAGACAGCATCTAAGGCCCAACATTAAGGCTCTTCCAAAGACACAGCTGAGCCCCTGTGAAGCTCCTGTATCTCCTACCAGCACAGAATGCCATCCGTTGCATTTTTGGGCTTCTGAGATGTCTTAAATGCACATGTTACTTTTGAAGATACTAACAGTTTCAAAGGTGTCTGATGTAACTCTACAGACAAGACCTTTCCACTCCTAGGCATGTTCTGTAACTTTTTGATGCTGACCTGCATGGTCTTACAACGTCTCTTCAGGCTCTGGCAAGGTATTAGCTGCCCTCTCTACTTACTGTAGCATAGTCTTTCACTTCACTGAGGGGAGTAACACCAACCTTCATAGATGGTTGTGTTACATTTTGGGAGGAGTAATAAAGCTGCACACACAATATTCTGAATTTTCTGAAAGAAGCAGGGCTGCATCTGAACCCACGTGTACTTGAGAAGCCAAACGCTGATGCAGTACACATAGTGTGTCAGAGGGGCTTCAGTAAGCTAGTTTAGATTAAACTCAGACTAAACTTCTCTGATTTTGGAGCTAAACCCCAAATGGACATACTCATAGCAGGAGATCTCTTTCCATGAGATAAATGACTGCGTGAACAGTTGAAATGAATGGTAGTGGAAAAAACAAGACTTGCTCTCCACATTTTCTTTAAGAAGTGATGTGTAGCACTTTTTTTGATTAAAGTGTAGCACTTTTCTAGACTGAACTGTTTCCTAAGTTTCCTCTGTCACTCTGCGTCTTGTGAATTTTAGTCCCATGGACAAATAGCCTTACTGAGACCTTCCTTGAGGCCATGACTAAGTGAGCCATGGGAATAGAAGGATTCAATGTGATACTGCTAATCACATTTTGTTCTGATCAAAAGCATTAACTTTGCAGTGAATAAAGTGTTGCCTTTTACTTTTGAATTTGAAAATGGTTAAATATGCTTTAAGAATTACATATATAACTTTGAAAACTGATATTTGTGTATAAAAAAAGAAAAGCTACTGCGCTGATTTTGGACCGTAAGTAACCAAGTGGCTCTGTGCTCACTCCCTGGATGTAGACTCTGACAGTGGTGATAGACATACGTGGCCTGCACGCAGTTATGATGGTTAAATGTTTTCTTCTCTTTGCTCTTTGGACAGAACTGTGAACTCTAGAGACCTGGAAATAATCTGATTGCACTTCAGTAATCCAGTGTTTTATCAAGTACCGAAGGCCTTGTTTTGAAAAGCTGCTTGTTTACCTTTATCCATCTTCAAGTTTGCAAAAAAACACGAGGGGAGGGATGATAAACTTCTAGATTTGCACCTTGAAACGTTTCAGGGAAACTATTGTGCAGATGTTCCTTTTACATTCTTTTAGCTAATTGTTAGATAAGATTTCCTTGTTCAAATATCACTTGTTTCCGTTTTACAGACTTTACAGTAACCTATTTGAGTCTTTTTTTTTTTTAATTTTTTTTTTTTATTTTCACATCAGTATCTTGTACAGCAGTTTGCCACTGGAGGCTCACCAGTTAGCTACTGGACAGATTCTGCATATTCCTAAAATGGCACTTGATGACTTGAAAGACTCATTCAGTGTGTGTTAAAGCTGAACTCCCTTTGTAACGTTCTAGACAAATGCTGTTACTGTTGGTTCATGGGCTGTTTAAAAACGCAAAATTGAAATATCTTCGATTTTGAATGGAGAAGGAAAAATTCCTTGTTTTCTAACGTGAAAATATTGGCAGTTTCAAAATGCAGTGTTGTACCATCACTAATATGTTTTAATCTATTGGCAAACATCAAAACATTTTACAGCAAATGCACTAATATATTACAAAAATGTTGAGTACCTAGATATGTCTGATGTAGTGCAGTTTAACATGTCATGCTTTTAAAAATGTTTTCCTTTTGAATTACTTATTTATCTACACTCATGGAAGTATTATTTTATTGTGTACATAACAGTATTAGACCACTGAAGTCATGTTTTGTTCATGTTAATTATTCTAAGTGTTCCTGTTCTAGCTTTATAACAGTGGCTGCAAGCTGCATATATATATTTCCCTTCCCCTAAAACCTGCATTAAGTGATCTATTTAACCTAAACTCGCCTGCTTTTTACAGCATGAAAAGATTAACTAAGCATCTTCTGAAAATTGCTACTACAAGTAACAATGCAGTCTTGGTCTTACGTCTTCTGTAACAGATATACTGGATAAGTGAGTACTGTAAAGCATAGCTGTCTCAAATCCTGCTATAAACCATTGGCTGATACTTCAACTCAAGTGAATCACCCAAATGGCAGCTGCCTTTTCAGTGGTTAAATGCAAATGGTTTTGCTGGAACTAAATGTGTTCTTTCCTCGACATCGCAGCTACAATAGGAAACCCTCAGCCTTCTTTCTTACTCTCACTGTTTGCTGTTCAGACTACAGTAGAACTGTTTTAGACTTTAGAGCAGTGCCTTAGGTAAAAAGAAAAATGTATTTTTGTATGATAGCTGTTTAATTCTGGCACAGACAATCATTCTAACAAAAAAGATGCCGGTATTTTTTTTCTGTCCTGATATTATTTGTAGAATGCTCTGTTACAGCTCTCTGTAAATATGTGCGCACTGTTAAATAAACTTTGCAGTTGAACAATGCTTTATTTCTGTAATGCTAAACATTACCTTGCTAGGAGTTTGCAGCCCCTTGCCATGCTGACCTGCCTTGAGATGCGCTCTGGTACTGCTCTAACTTCTCCACACTGCAGATTCCCAAAACTAGCAGCCTCTTTGGCAATTTCAGTTGTGTGGTTGGGAGGTATTTGAACTAACACCTTTGGACCTTGCTGTGTTTGTACATGCCGATGATATGTTCCTAACTGTTGAATTCTTTAACTTGCTTTTCACTGTGGGCCTTTGCTTTTTACTTGTAGCACCAGCATCTTTCTGGTCTAACAGTGAGTGTGACAGTGTTCTGTGGCCGCAGTAGAATGGTGACTGTCAAGAACACAGCAGGACACTGCCTTTGTTTTTCTTGCGAGGTTTCTTTGTTTCTGGTAGGTGCTTGTGAACAAAAAGGAATGACCAGAGCAGTATGCAGGTGATAAATATTTCTGTATGGTATCGAACACTGCTGTGAAAAACAACTTTAAACTAGCATTCCGGTTGCTGAAGGGCAGTAGTAGGTCTGTACGTGGACAGTGGCTATACACCTGTTCTCCAAAGGGCTTTTTCACACAGGCTGTTCTTGGCAGATGGTGCAGTGTCAGTTATATATTAAAAAAAATGAATTAGTTTATGGAAATTGTTGCTTTGGTCCTCAGATATTTAAGGGTGCAATGGCAGAACAGCTGGCTCTTGACTGTGCCAGTATCAATGTATCAGATGATTTCAGTAGCTAAGCCATAAAAGGTGTCAATCGTGTGAGATGGCAAAATGAAAAAAATAATTTTTGAGACTGTAGGACTCCAAGCTGGCACTAGGCTCACTTTTATTAAATCATAAAACATACACTGACATGATAGGAGAACTATTGTTGTCTGAGCTATTTTTAAGGCACTTCTAAAGGCATGTGCCTTTTTTGTTGTAGTTGAAAGATTTACTTCTTGTTAATGGATTAATAATTGTATATAGACAGTCTCATTTAAACAGTGATGTAAAAAAGCTGATGAGCAAAACTTTTGGGCAAACCATGCAGAAATCAAGACTAAAGTTTATGAAAGCTTAACTAAAGCTAAATCATACTGCTAAAACATTGTTATATGTAAGATGAAGCCATTCCATACAACGTGCTGCAGTTTGGTGTGGTAGGTACTTATTATTGAGCTGCTATTTATGGTGTGATGTATATAATGTACCTGTAGTTGTAAAAGCATAATAATGGATCTCTCTGATCCCGGGTGCAATCTTTGCATCTCTGTTTTGGAGGTGCATGCCTTGTCAAACCCACTTTATTTAAGTAAGTGCCAAGCTTAAATGTATACCAGACAAGTTTAAAACTAGCATTGTTTTAGTTTAAGCCACACGCAGATTATGTAGTATGTGGATCTCTAATGCTAAGTCTAATGGCATTTCAGGCCTTTACACTAAGAGTTACTTGGAAGCAAAGTTAGATTTTTATTTTTTTTTGCAACACTACGTGCTTTTTGTGCTGCAGGAGCTTCAAAAGTCAAACCCAGTATATTGAGGCTACTTTAGTTTTTATACTAAAATGGAAAAAGTTAAAGTTCTTAACATGCAAAAACCTGCTCCTTTACCAGGACTGTTTTGGAAAGCAAGGCTCTCAAATCCATTTTACAGCAGCTGCTGTCTGCTCCTTACAGTCGCTTGGGACACTCAGCACAGTAAATTTTTCCATTATGGCAAACAAAGCGCTTGTTGGCCAGACCACGGGCACACTTTGTGCATTTGAAACAATAATCGTGCCAGGATTCATCTTCGTAGTTAACCACACTGGTTCCTCTTCCAAATCCTGCTAGGAGAGAAAACAATTATAGGACGGCGATAGTAGCTTTTCCCTTGGCTGGGTTAATCCACCAAACAGCAGATCCCATTCTTACTGCCTCCTGTGCTGCTGTAGTCCAGCAGAACAGCTTTGTACACCCATAATCCTAGCCCAAATTGCAACTGAACCACATTGCTGCTCAGGGTTACTGCTTGTAGAGAAGGAGGCAGCTTAGCATAAGGCTCATGTGGCTTGTCTCTGCAATAAGCTTTTTCCCTTGGGATCCTTTTTCCAGGAAACAGTCAAGCTGAAGGAAAGATCAAGATGGAGAGCAAGGAGAGCTTGGGCTAAATGCTCTCCCTGGTTGTTACAGGCTCGGATTCATGCTCTGAAGTGCAGAACAGAATGCAAGTTTCATGGGAGGGCAGGATAATGCCCATGGTTCTGGGCTGAACTTTGTGATCCAGTAACTGTCACATGTAAATACATCAGAAGTTCAAGCAAAATGTCACTCTGGGGCAATAAAACATTGGTCTTTTTAGACACAACGTTCCCAGACTAAGATATAGGTGGGAACAGTTCTAGTTGGGGAAGTTTTGAAGGAGGTAAATTTGAGGCCTGCAAAGGGGGAAGAGCTCAGGTACTAACTCTGACTCTATCCAGCAAGAGCATGTGGCTTATAGTTGGATCACATGTAAATTGCTGGGATTGGGCTTGGGATACTAGGGACCTGCTTCTGGTGTTAGCAACCTCTGAGCTGCACGTCTTTGGGGATCGCTGTTCTGACCTTAAGCACCTGCTGCCCCCAAGCTGCATTTAATCCAACATACCTGTAATAGGATTCTTGCAGCCAGCACACTTCTTGGCAACGCACTCCTTGTAGCATTCAACACAGTAAAATTGATCCTCTACAGCTGTGAAGCGCTTCCCACCCAGTTGCTTCTTGCAGTTGGAGCAAATGAAACACTCGGAATGCCAAGGCTGTTCCTGGTAAGTGAGGCCTCCAGAAGTGATGGGCTAGGAGGCAAAGAGCAGAGATGTGTTTCAGAATGGGTAGGGAGGAAAAGGGGTGATGCAGGCATGGGAAGATCTCTGGAAAGATCTTTCTTGTCATGGAGATGATCTCTGGGAAGTTTTCATTAAAACAGTGCAGCACTTGAGTTCCTCTAGCCTGAAATCCTGCAAGCCTGGAGCTTTCATAATAGCTTATTTTACCTGCGGTGACTCTGCCAGTCTGACTTTTGCAACTGATTAGTGTAAGAAAGACAGCTGTTGTGTTATAAAACATTGTGTTACTCCTTGAACACACAATACCTACTGGAGAGCTTAAACTATCCCCAAAGCAAGTGCAAAGCTGGTGCCCGCTTGGTTTCAGCAGAGCTCAGGTAACCCTACAGCCCCTGCTCAGATATTGTAACGTGCCGGAACCATTAGCTCCCACATTATTATACCACCAGCTGCTTGCACCAGTATCTCAAGGAAGAAAAATAAGCATTGATACAGCTCCAGCACAATTTGTCGACTGGTTTACTCTCCCAGCTTCTGAAAGACATGTGATGGCCAGTTCTGGCAGCTGCCTTTGCAAAGTGGAAGGACTTACATTCTTGCATTTAGCACAGGTCTTGGCAAACTTATGCTCGTGGCAGGAGACGCAGTAGAAGTCATCGCCCTTGGGGAAGAAGCTCCCAGATCCAATCACTTGCTTGCACTGGCTGCAAGTGAAACAGTCCTTATGCCAGACCATCTTCTTGTACTCAACGTTTTGGTCTCCTACAACAGACAGAAATAACTCGTTATGGGGGATTTCAAGCTTGTGACAAACTCCCACCCTGTGCAGTGTAACATACCTGTAGGCAAGACTTGTCTATACTTATGGCCAGGATTCAATTGTAACATAGACAAGGGAAAAGCTGTTAATTTCTGTATTTGACCTTAGCCAGGGCCTTCTAGATTTTCTTAAAATATTTGTCAGACAGGTGCCCAAGTCTTTCTGAGAAGACGACCTTGATATACAGAGCAAAGCTTTTGGTAGGAATGGTTTAGGACTAACTACTAGGGTGAACTATCCACATGAGGGTTAACTGCAAAGCAGCCTTTCAACACCTGCATAAAATGGACAGGCAAGAGCAACAGTCAAAACCTGCACCTTTTTCTGGTGCTCCAGCCTTCCACCCCTAACTGCTGCCTCCACAGTTTGGTAAACCCCCGCAGTTTCGCCCTAGAGCAGAACTTGGGAGTTGTAGCTGTATCACTGGCACCAGTACCTGCAATAATAGGCTTGAAGCAGCCCTTACACCTGGGCGCATCCTCAGTGGCAGTGCAGTTGCTACACCAAACCTTGTTGTTCTCCCGCAGCATGAAGGGCTCGTTGACCAAGGATGTATAGCACTTGAAGCAGCGGAAGCAGTTGTCATGCCAGTAACGGTTCTTGAAATGCAACTCCTGGAATGAACAGAAATGGAGTGAGCAATAAGCCCCTCTGTCTTGCTGAGCACCCTAAAACCCAGCTACTGTCTCATCAGCCTTGGCAGTAGAGTCCTTAGTTCCTAAGCCTGTCTGCATTCAGTGGTTGGAGGTGCAGCTCAGCTGCAAGCGGTTACGGGAAGGACATTTAACCAAACTCACTGACACAATCACATTCACTTTGGACTTTCAGGGTAGCAGAAGCTGCTTCAAACCAACAGCTTTGAGATTTGAAGTTCTGTAAGCGTGGGCTTCTCTGGCTGTCAAGTTCCCTCTAGTTCAGGTGTATGTTAACTGCCATAAACATGAAGCAATAAATGTTTGACAAACTGACAACAAGCCCTGTGCAGGCTGGAGCACCTGCAGTGCTCTCTGCAGGACAATTAAGCATTTGCAGCAGTTCATGTGGCTGAATCTATATCCTGAAAATAGCTCTTGTGCGAAAGCAGCCCATCATGACCAGCCCTTCTGCAGTCCCCAGGGCCTCTGGCTCTTTGCCCAAGGAGCACATGGCCCATCAGCCAGAGCACTCACAGGAGAACTTGTTTTCACACAAACTCCCAGACAGACCACAGCCAGGAAAACAAGTGGGAGGGTTATCAGCATCCACCTGTCTTCTCATCACCCATTTAACTGCTCAGCGCTCACCTTGGAGTCAGCTCCAATGGGTTTCTTGCACTCAGTGCAGGTGTTGGCACAGAACTTCTCGAAGCACTTGACGCAGCAGTGGCGGCCCTCCTTCTGCACGTACTTCTTCCCTTGCAGAGGGTCACGGCAGTAGTGGCAGTCAAAGCGTTCCGACATGGTGCCTACAGTGTAACTGCCAGGCCCTGCAAGAGGAAAGAGGGTGAAGTTACAGCACGGAAGCCCTGATAGCTGCTCCAGCTTCTTGGGGCTGTGCAAATGAGAAGTATCAGGAAGATGGCTCAGCGACGAGCATCTGGTGGCGTCACGCTCCTCGAGGGCTTGTTGGTGGAGAATGTGGCTTCAGTGCCAGCACTGTTGGGGCAATTTTTCTATCGGGCAGCTCAGTGGTCTATAAAACATGACAGCTCTCTACCAACTGCACTGGCATTTTCCAGGTGCCTCCAGTTTTGCCTTTAGAGTCTAGGTCAGGCTAACGAACCATCACCCTCAGGAGGCTGGGTGCAGTAGACAGCCTGGCTTTGGCTGCAGCAGTCACAACAGGCAGCTCAGATGTCCCCTTCCAGGTCAGGAATTGCTGTTTGCAGAGACAGAAATACCATGAAGTCTCAGAGAAGTGCTGGCCCCAGAGTAAGCCCATGTGGGCCATCTCCTGCCTGTGCTCTGGAGCTCAGCAAGGGCAGCGGCCGCCTCTGCTGGCCCCTGCTGTTAGCATAAGCAATGTGTTAGTAACAAATGTTTTCAGTTCCCTTAATAGCCTTCCAAGATACAAATGCTAGATTTCTGCCTACAGAGCAGCAGGACGGGCTCTGGCCAAACACAAGAACGCAGCTCTCACCTCCTGGGGTCCAGCGAGCACAGTTGCTGGTGAGGAGAGCAGAGTCCCGCACCAGGCTTTCCCCATCACCTTCTTACAAGGAAGGATACTAGACTGGTTCATTTCCATATGTCACATCAAGCAAGGATAACGATACCTGATCACTGAGAGGGGTGAACCTGCTTAGTTCATGATGGCCAGGCCCACTGCAGGCCTCAGCAAGGTCCTGGCTGCAGCACCACATAATTTGTGCACAGAAATCACCGCCAACCCCGAGCAGAGCAGAATAGTTTCCATGTTTCCAGGCTAAGCCCACAGCCAGCTGCAGCCCTCTGAGGTCTTTTGTGCTGGATAGTTGTGCAGCTTCCAGCTGCATCTTTTCACTGGGCTTTCAGATATAAAGCCATGAGGAAACCAGGAAAAGATCTCCCTACACATAAAGAAACTTCTTCGGTTCATGCCAGCAGGGCTCTGCCAAGGCATGATGTTCCACCATGGCCAGGGAGCCAGCACATCAGTGGGTGTGGGGGCTCTTGACCAGAGGATTTTCCACTTTGGCCGGAGGTGCACGCTCATGCTTTCTCCCCAGACACCCGCCCCCAGCCTGCACGCCCAGTCCCAGCCTCCCAGACCATTTCTACTAATGGCTCCCTCCATTTCCCTCCGCCCTTCCTCAGAGGAAGCCAGCAAACGCTCCTGCAAGGGCTGCAAAAGCTCCATCAGGGTTATGCAAGCCCGAGCAGTCCCAGAAACGCAGCTCCATCTCCGCTCATGCCCCCGCAGCCCCCAGCACCACGAAGCCCCGTCTCCCCTGCGTGGCCAACAACCCAGGACACAGCCTTGAACTTTCTGCACCATCAGCAACCTGGCGGGAGACACATCTGGCAATGGAGGACGCCAAGAGGAAATTTAATTATTTTTTTCCTGATAGAGCTGTAGTGCCAGCAGGAAAGGGAGAAGGATGCGGTCAGGCAATATAAATTACTGCTGCTTCCTGCTGCGAGGTTGGGGAGGCCGTTAGCACCTCCATTGCAAAGACTCACCTCAGACCACCCCCACCCCGTCCTGGAGTTTAGGGGCTGCTTTGCTGCCTGCTCCTGACGGAGCTCAGCAGCACAATGGCTGCTCCTTCCAGCCATGTTGCTCCAAGTCCCAGCACTGAACCTTTATAAACTGGAACAGGGCTTGGGAGTTTTGGGCTGTAGAGAGGGTACGTTGTTCCCAGCTGTGCCCTCGTGGCGAGGAAGGGTCAGTGGGACCCTGTGGGACTCACCCTTGGCCACAGGATGCCGTACAGGCAGGACTACCATGTTTACGGCCCGAGGACCTGTTTACACAGCTTTTTCTTGGACACTTGCCCACCCCAGTAATTTGAGATATACTGTCAACTGTGCGGCCCAAGCTGTCAGCATGAGAAATGCCCACGCTGGCAGGGGAGCCACCCGGGGCTGAGGGATCCTTGCTGCCACCCTTGTGAGGAGTGGGGCTTTGCAGCAGAGGCACCAGCACAAGTGCACCTCGCCAGACAAGCACACATCCAACCCGACAGGTCCTGACCAGGGCACAGCCCTGCCCGGCAAGCCCAGGCACTGCAGCAAGACGTGAGGGTGGCTGCTGCCTTCACCATCTCCCTTGCTGACCCAATTATTTTGTTTTTCTTTGAGAGTAACACGCTGTTGGCAGCACCCAATACAGCCAGGTGCAAAGCCTGGGGAGTTGCCTGCCTGCAAGTGAACATTTTGCCATTATTTCAGAAATCATTTTCTGCCTCATCTCTGGGCTCAGGAAGCTGCTGGACAGGCAGTGGAAGATGCTGGGGCAGAAGACAGGACCCACAGTGTTACTTCGCAGATTTTAAAATCCAAGAGTCATCTTACTGTCTCCTCTTTGTCACCCTTTCAGTAACGCCAGGCCAGAACAAGTTGGAGCATTTCTCTTCCAGAAAGCAGAACAGATAGTCCTGGAGAGGAGCATCACACAGGGAGGCTGCAGCAGAGGTGGGGACCGGCTTCACACCCTTCCTCTTCCCCTAAAACTTAGAGGAGCAGGCTGGAGGCTGGGCTGGCAGGAGCTGCACTCTATGGGGACCGAGGTCTGGAAACGCCGCCTTGCCAAGGTCAGGAGACGGCCATGTCCTGCTGACAACTACGCCAAGGGTTGCGTTTGTACCGGTTCAAGTAAATGAAACAAATAAACAGCTGGGAAATGTGGAAACTATGTGAGCCACGGCCAGCTCTGCAGAGCTTTATCAAGCAAGTGGGTTTTATTTAGAAGAAATGCAATTGCACAGGGTCCAGGGCAAATGGTATCGAAACGTTCTTGATCTCGGGTTTAGGGTTGCTTTCAACCAGAACACGTAATCGTGAACATATGGCTCAAGGAGTAACATAATCCTGTGTTCCCATGTAATGCATCATGCACTAACGTGAGACGCACATTTATCACAGCAGCTTTGGAGCTCCACAGACAAATTAACACTGTGCCAGGCAGCCCCGGGAGCTGGGCTGTGCAGGCAGACAGGCCAGCTTCTGCCTGCCTCATGCCATCTCAAGGACCAAAATGCCTCCCTCATACATAGGCTGGGCCATGAATTTTCTTCCAGCTCTTACAGGAGCTTTCTGCCCTTGGTGCTGTCATCCCTACTCTGATCTAGACCCCAGAAAGGCACCTCTATCCCCTTGCCTGCAGTGAGGATGCAAACACCAACCATGCTGTCCCAAACAGCATGCTGGCTGTTCACGATCTCTGCTCACCCGTGCCATGCCAAGAGCCCACGTCAGTCAGACCATCTCCTACAACCCTCACACGGGAGCAGCCCGCCCAGGGGCTGGCACACAACCGCCCCAAAAGCTGCTGCTCTGTGGCACAGCGGGGCCCCACACCGGTAGCAGCTGTGGTGGAACCACCAGATCATTTTCCCAGAGTGGATCAAATGTCCATGGAGACTTCAGAGCTCTGCTGCCCTGGGACAGAAGCATTTAGTATCCTACTGCTGCTCCCCTAAGTGGTCCTGTCCCCTCTCACGGAAGGCAGACAGAACAGATACTTGTTGTGCTTTGTAAAAAAAAAAAAAAAAAAAAAAAGAGTAAATCTTCTAAAGCCAGGTTGGCAGCAGATCATGGCTTTGGAGATGGTTATCTCCTTAATAACCTGTTCACCCTCCAGCTGCACCACATCCCCACAGCTTCACTTTCCAGAGCTTCCAAGTATATCAACCATGACCTGTCTTTGCTGTCTGGAAAATAGGCACATCATGAAACTAAGGACACACTGGGTATATGGAAAAACCATGACTCCTCCTCACTCTTCCCTGGGGCCTTTATTTTTGTGCACGCTGCATAGCTTCCCCATGCAAGCTGTGCAACAGCTGTTGAGCGCTCAGTAGGGATTCACACCAGCTACCACCATGCTGCAGCAACACAAAACTCAGCGCTCAGGGTAAGCGCTCGTCAAACTAACCACTAAAACCCTAAGCGCTGTACCTTTGTGCTTCATTTCACAGTGGTGTGCTTAAAACGACAGCAGTACGCTCAGGTGTTTTAGCTTGGAAGTTATTTGAACAGTTTCTTTGGCTGTACCTTTACACCAGACTACAGCGTCTCTGAGCTGACAGCCTGGTCAAGTGTCTCCTGTTTAACCCCGGGAGAAGCACATACCCTGAGGACATGCACTGATCCAAACCCCATTTCAGCTTTACTCTGGGGCCACAGGAGGGGATTTAGGAAACAGAGAAAAAGGACAGACTGGAACTACTCTCTGGCCCAGGCTGATGTCCACGCACAGATGATGTTCTGCTGGAGAGAAGCACGTGAGAAGAGAGCATGCAGGCTACTGGGGAGAGGGGTAAGTGCAATATGTGCCCATCCTTAAATAGCCTAGAGGACCCTCAATAAAAATAAGAGGTCAAGGAAAATCCAGCAATACTTCCAGAAACTAATCCCCCTTTAAAGCAAGGTGTCCCTCTCCCACCAGCCCTGGCAGGGTGCTGTCTAAATGTAGCTCCCTGATGGATTTGGCTACAGCTCGAGGGCGGCTGGCCAGACCAGTGGCCTTCTCAAGTATCAGGGTGTTTGTCATGAAGACCCACTGGAATTCAACTCTAACATTTACCTGACCACAGAGGTGCCAGTTAGCCACTTGTCCCCCAAGACTATTTGCTGCTTTTCGAAAGCAGCCCCTCAGCCCTGGACAACCAGGCCTTCCACCTTTCAAATACAGATCTTAAATGCTTGGGCTCGGCCAGCTTCTGCACACCTCGAGTCATGCTGACACCATGTTGCAGAGCAGTCACAGGGCTGTCCCAGCTAGTGGTCACCATCAGGGCTGTGTCTGCACCCTGCAGCATGGCAAGCTTTAGGATGGAGAGGAGGGTACAGACCTAAGAAGTGCACCCCACAAAAGCTGTTGCATTAACACAACCCCATGGATCTCCCTCTCCCACAGCCCCTGGGCTAGTTCCTCCCAGTTCAGGTGACCACAACCCAGCGTCACAGTGGTGTGCACAACAAATGAAACCAAAGCGCTCTGCAAAGGGAGCTGAAGCATAGCTGATAAGCAAAGCACTTAGCACAGGATATGTGTTAATGTCTCTGGGGAATATGTTTAAATGTGATAAACCACCAACGAAGAATTTCAAGTGTGGTCTCTAAAAACAACCGGGAAAGCTGTACTTAAACCTTACAGACTATTCTGACACTTAGAAAAGAAGATGAGGCTGAAGGTGTTAACCCTCTGCCCTAAGCACAGCTGCATTCTCTCTGGCAATATAGAAGGAAAAGAGCAATTGCTTTTTGACTCCATCAGTTTTATTTTTCTCAGCAGACCGAGTACGCACAGCCCCTGTACTGCCAGGCATTGGCTACACCTGCCTATTTCGGCTCAGAACCTGGCATCCCCTGGTCTGTCACCTGAGTTACTATTCTCAGCATTTCTCAATGCAACGCCACGTGGTTTGCTATAAATACTAGGGAATACCCTTAAAAGAAGGGTCCCGTTAATCCAAAATGCGAAGCGATGCTCAGGACTGCACCTCAAGGTCACTGGCACGCTGCCCTGGACAACAAGGAAAGAAAAAAATCACTTGCAGGTCATATTTGCTGGGAGAGCTGGCAGGAACGAGCGGAGAGCTGTGCTCTCCCATTGCCAGGCTGGGGCACGTGCGAGTCTCATACTCTATAATTCAAAAATTAGTCTGTTGATAAAATGGAAGCTTCTTTATTTAGAACAAGAACGGCTCCAAGTTCCTCAGGCGGTTGCCAAAAAGATTCCCTGCGGTCCTATCGCCACCATGTCTGAGCACATCCTCATCATTATTAAATCTTCACAGTTCCCCAGGGAAGTAGAGACGTGCTATTAAAAAACACACTGCTCCAGCCCTGCAAACGCTCCCCCCAGGGCTTGCTTTTGCACTTAATACAGAGCTCGGCTAAGGCTAACAAGGGTCCCAGCGTGCATAGATAGCACCACTTTAGGCAAAGTCCAAACCTTGCAAAACAGCCCAAATCAGCTAAAGCAAAGAAGTCCTGCTCAGTAACTAACTCACTCTGTGGCTGCCTTAAGCTTTGACCTTTGAGAGTCTTCAGTTACGTTCCCAGCTACGCATGGATCTGCCCCCACCTCGGTGCCTGGACGCCCTTCTCATGCCCAGGTCCCCCCAAGAGATGAACCTGAACCTTTCTGCTGCTGCAGGGGAGTCACCTCCCGAGACAGGCACTACAGCACTCCCTGCACAGGGAAGTGCTCCCTACAAGGTGCAGGAACGGACACTGCGCTATAACTCGTTGGTGGCAGCACTCCAACTGCAGCATCTGCTCAGAAGACACTTCAGCATTTTGTATTACAGCACATCATCAAATCCGTGGGTCCTCTTGCCCTAGAGAACGCCCCCCTGAAGAATATGAGAAAGAAAAGAAAGATATAGCTGGGAGTATAATGAAAGGATGCTACAGCATCGGTCAGTCTTGTGGGCCGAAGTTACAAAATAAATGTCTTCTTACATTTTAATTGAATGGATTGCTCTTTTAAACACCTGAAAGGCATTTAAAAATGATACCACGGAAGTCAGATTTTTCTCAGAAAGGTACCTTGCATAATGTATATCTGCATCACACAAGCAAATCCTAAAGTAGTTACATGCCATGCAAGAAGCCTCATGGTTGTGCCCTGTCCTGGGAGACCGAGTGTGAAGCTGAACAGCCTGCAGTGACTTTCCTCCCCAGTTTTGAAGAGGCTTCATGTTCCCAACCAAGTCTCGTGAGCACCACTGTCCCCTGGATCCTGGCATGCAGCAGCTCAGTTTGATGCCCCTGGGAGCTGTGCCCCAAACTTAACACCCTCTCCCCAGGCACATCCACCCCTTGGGCTACATTTTGTCAAGAGATGCAATGGCACTGCCATTGTACGTTGTGATATAGAGCTGTAAATATGTGCTGGACACACACACAAATATGGTTAGCTTCTGAGAATCAGACAAGCTTTTAAAAATCCCAAAGAGCTTTCAATTGTAATTGGAGGGCTGGAGGAGTTTAGTCGCAGATGGGAAGACACAACACATCTGCATGCCACGGGGGGCGTGCAAAACATGCTCTGAAGATTCCTGTCAGTGTTAATGGGAAGGAAAAGTTAACATTTTCCTGTCACTGGTGAGAGTCAGCCAGTTTGATCTACAAGACAAACACAGAGAAGAGGGAGTAACCACAAGCTTCCCACCAGAGCAGAGCAAACCATCTGCGTTTAGATGCTGGGCTTCTGCATGCTCCCCTCTGCTACAGATTTCCCCTGCTCACGGCAACAACTGCCATAGCAAGCTTGCTGCAAGGAGGAGCATCACCCCCCATTTTCACCTACTCTTCTTCAAAGAACAGCCGAGTCCCAGCCTTTCCACAGCAGCGGATACGAAAGCGCTTTCCATCCAATGCATTTTACAAACTAGATGAGGCCGCCACCACTGCCACGCTCCCAGCGCCAGTCCCACGCACTGGTTATAAGCCCAGTTGCCATCATTAATTACAGCTGCAGATTGCTGAGGCTTAAGACTGCATTCAGAAGAGTTATTTTGCTGGTGCAGAAACCTGTTAGCAAAACCTTCCTCCCCATTTACCAGGCACTGCACACACAGGGTTTCTCCCATCACACCCGGCAGCACGTCCGCTTTACCTGTGTGCCTGTGGAAAGCCATGGTTAACAGCCCAAAGTCACCGGCAGCCCCTTAGGTAACAGAATTCACAGTGTCTTGGCCGATTAGGAGCTGCCCTGTTTGATAACATACATTTAAACGGAGGCTATTAATATGGACAGGACTCCTACCAGATGTCCACTCCCCTCCCCAGAGATCACAACCTTAATCCCCCTTGAAAATTCTTACCATTTTAGGTGATCCAAGGGAGAAGAATAGGATCCAGAGACCTCTAGGTCTCTGTAGGCAACATGTAAATACCTGCTCGGCTACTCAGCACCCAAATTAGTCCCAAAGGCAGAGTGTGCCTCAGGAACTTGACCCCATGCTAGTACTATTTCGCCTTGGCTTTAGAGCTAGATTGTGTCTCATAACAGTCCTGAGCTAAATTACAGACTCAACGTTAATTCTGCACTGCCATTGCTGAAGGGAAGAGGTGGATCGCAGCCTCACGGGGGCCAGAGGGGCTGCGGTCCCAGGAACCGGCAAGGGGCTGTCCCCTGGCTGTAGGGCCTAGAAAGGGCCTGGGTTGTAACCCTGGGAACCCAGCTGACAGCCCACAGAAGTACCAGGAGATATGTTCATGGGTGGGTTAGCCTTGCCTTCAACATGAGGGTCACGCTGAAGTTTTACTGCCAGTAAAACTACCGTACCTGGTGGTCCTCCAGCTTTTACACTAAGGAAGCTCAAGGCATGAACTGTTCAAAGCGAGCAAGTCCCTGAACAGCAGCACTTGGAAAGCTGGGTTTCATGATTACGAGGCTTCTCTAGCATCTAACAGCACGGCTGGGCTCACTCCCCAGCACGTGGCTTACGGAGAGCACTGGCTTTTTACTCAGGTGTCCACAAAACTCCCTGGAAGACTCCAGCTCCGCAGCTCCAACTGACCTATTTCCACCCAAGTCACGACAGGGAGCGGAGGGAGCTGTGGCTCAGGGCTTGCTCCCACGGGGACATGCAGGCTGCCGCAGCTCCCGGCCACAGGCTCGCTCTGGGTTATGCAATTGCGGGGGTGCACGGTCAGGGCCGGGGGCCAGGGACACCCAGCTGCTAATCCTGCCTTGACACTGACTCACTCCATGGCCGTGGGAAAGTCAGTTAACCTCCCTGACAGCCGCTGGGAAGAGCCAATGTTTATCATTCCTTCCACAGAGCCCATTGCAGTGGTGTCTGGCCTCCGAACAGCAATCGGGATATTCAGCCTGAGTGGCTCTGCTACAGCCAGGAACCGGGAATGTCTCCGCTTCCACTTGCAAAGGTCCCGAGAGCTCCTCAACCGCACACACGTGTGGGTGTGCACAGCCTCCAGCCCTGGGCTCGGTGACCCCCTGGGCCTTTGTACCCATCTTAGGACCCCCAGGCAGCACACCTGCAAGGTCAGCACCTCACCAGTAACCTGACATCTCTGAGTTTCCAATGTGACCTGGAAAAGGCCACACTTGACAGCATGCCGTCCAAAGGAGCGCAGCGTGGATCCGCTTGTGTAGCGGATTGAGGCTGGGAAATGTGCTAAAATACTAGCGCACTGAAACACTTTGGCTAGGAAAAGCCCAACATTATTCTGCCCCAGCTCATCTATAAACTCAAGCAAATTGTTTGCATAATTCAGATGGTAACAGGAACCCTAACAACTGGTATTTTCCTGTGCTAATCTTGCTGTGCGCAGTGTAATATTTACAGACATGAGTTCATTTTTGGCAATGCACGTAGAGTTTGCACCATTAACCATTGTCATTCCTTTCTAGTTCCCTGCACAAAGCACTGGCACCCTCCTGCTCAGCAGTCATTTCCTGCTTCCTCCAGAATACCCTCGTATTTCAATTAGAAACGGTAACCTTTGCACAGCAACGCTATTCCGCCTTTTAGGACAGGGAGCAATCTCAGCAGCTGCCACATCCCACCCCAAAGGCAGCTGCAATTCAGCAGCGGTTTGACAGCATTGCAGAGGCATGCGGAGAGTAGGGATGGACACTTGGCCATCAAAGCGTTTCACGTGCACAAATGCACGTGTTTTTGCAGCATGACAACAGGCATGGGCTGGAGGAGGTGGGAGGAGAAAGCTTGGCCAAAAAACAGGAGGAAGACCCAGCCCTGCTGGTGGCCATGAAACTTTACCATGAAACTCCCTGGAGAAGCATTTCATGGCACAGCTCACTCTGCGACGCCTCTGGTGATTCCCCAGAGCAATCTGTAATAAAACAACCGTTTTGTTTGAATTTGTGGCCTCCTGGGCCAGCACAGTGAGGACGGGCCGAGGAACAACCCTTATTGAGAGGACAGGGCTGCTCTTGGTTTCTTGGCTGGTTTTAGCCACGTGACCTTGGACAATTCCCATCTGTCCGCACAAGCCCAGGTGATTAAACACACCGGTGGTGCAAGGTGTAGCACAAGTGTCAAGGAGGGACATCGTTGCCGTGTGAAACCCAGCAGGGAGCAGAAACCCCCAGGAAGGGGGGGGTGCACCATAAGGGAGGTACACCAGCCCTGTCCGAGCCCTTCTCTACCAGCCAGGTACCATGCACCTGCAGAGGAAAAAGTGCTACAAATGTGTCAGCAAGCACACAGCAGAACATGCAGGTTTGGGTTTTCATGATTTTAACATGAAACCTGTCCTGTAGGTTTTTGCGACTCCAGGGAGCAGGTCTGGACACACTGACCCCACCGCACAGGTCTGACTGCAAAGCAGCATGGCTGGGGCATAGTGTCATCCACTTGGATAGACAAATGATTCACATTGTGGTTACCAGAGTATTTTCTTGCCCTAACAATCCTGCCAGAAAAGGTCTGGGTGTCTCAGCTTGCTCACACATCCTGCTGTCACTCAACGGGCAGAAAGTCCTAAATAGAGCCGGTATAACCCAGGCATTGATGAACTATTAGTCACCGTCATCAAAGAAAGAAGCAGGCAGCGGTAAATATGAGGAGGGAAGCACCTGTCCACCTCTTAGGTTAATGCTGTACCTTCTGCTTCCACACATAGTGCTTACCAACACACAGTAACCTGCATAGAAAAGCACACGAGCCATTCACCCAGCTCCACATGAAAATGAGGGCCTCATACTGCTCCCTACTCTTCCTCTCGTGCAGGCAGGCGCTGGACTCGCTCCGTGCTCACTCTGGCCGGAGGCTGCTACTTCGATAGCACAGGACTGGCACCGTCCCAGCGGCCAGCGGGGTTAGCACTCCACATCCAGGTTTGCTCCCACCTGCCATTTGCACAAACACTTCTTTCTTTTCAAGTAACAGCACAGCAGATTGAGGGTTTATTTTAAATCTATCTTAGGTTGCATGCAATGCGTGTTGTCCCACAGCAGAGAGCACTCCTTCTGTCCAACCTATTGCAGACCCCAGTTAAAGTCCCCTTGGCTCTTCTGAGGCAAAACCTAAACAAAATAATTTTAAAAAACTTATATATATATGTGTGTGTGTGTGTGTAAAGACAGAGTTTGCAGGAAGCCAACGAATAAAGGAGCTGGGCTTAAGAGGAGAAAGGACACCAGAGCGAGCCCGCCTTTGCACTTGCAGCTGGTCCGTCAGCGGGAGGGAGGAGGCAGCAGCCGCACTGCCACAGAAACGCCGGGCAGGTTTGGGATCCAGGACTGACACCTGAGGCTGATCCAGCTCTCCAAGTGTGCTTCCTGCTCCCAGCACTGGCTCCATGCTCCTGAAAGGCACTGCAGAACAGTGTTTGCAGACCATGTGGAGAGGGCTGCCAGGGGATGGCCCCTGCTTCCCCACACCCCCACCCAGCCAGGGACCCTGCGTGCAACCCATGATCCATGAACCAAAATGGGAAGTTTCCACCTAGTCTTTTCAAAGAGCGGAAAAAAGCCATTTCAGTTTAAAAGCAAACACTTTCTCTTTGAAGTATCCCAAAAATGCTTCAGAAGACGCAAAACCTGGCTCATTTTCCCCATTCTGCACACAAGGATGCACCTCCACACCCCTGAAGCATCCTGCAGGCACTCAAGTGAACACAAGACAGAGGCACCCTGGTTCCCACGGGATGTACCCGCATCCAGGGCAAAGTCAGCACGAACATCGTGGCAGTGACAGAGGGGACAAACCTACCTGCCATCAGGCAAGCCCCGTGACCTCAGGCACCAGCTCAGAGGGGACAGTGGTGAAGGAAACGGGCAGCACGTGGTGAAGGCACACAGGGTGGTTTCCTTTCTTCCGTGCTGAACTCCAGCCCACAGCTGGGTCAGATCTGTGTGCGGAGCCTTTCAGTGCCAGGGAAAGCTTGTAGGATCAGCTATGGAGGTAGAGATAGAGGAACTGGGAATAAATTTGTAAGGAGGCAGATGCAGACTGGGTAACCCTCCATGAGCTCAGATAGATACAATGTAAGTAGAAACAAAAGGGAGAAAAGAAGGAAGAATAAGAAGATAGAAAAAAATAAGGATGAGGGTGCAGTAACAGACAGGAAAGAATGGCCCAGACATAATAGAGCTGGAAATAAAGGCATCTGAAAAATAGCAAAATTGAGAAGAGATCTAAACCAGGTTTTTCCCATCTGCCTCCATTGACAGGCTGGACTGTTTCCAGGACTATTCCCATGGCAGCTCCAAATTTATTTCCCTGCAGCCATCTGCTCTGCGGCTCCTCCCCACACACGCTCCCGACTGGCACTTCTTCCCGTCACCTGTTGCTGACATGGCAGACCTCTGGCTGCTGCTGAAAGCCAAGTGACACCAAGGCCTGGGGGGACCGTCTGCACATAAATCAAGAGCTGCTTTATAGACCCAAGGCTTTGTTCAGCTCCTGTCCCCCCTCCTGGCTATGTCAGTGTTGGAGAACAGAAGCCACAGCATGGTGGGGCATAGGCACCGTGCAGACCCACAGCAGCAGCCCCATGACGGGCTCCAGAGAGGACCGGGGCCAGAAGAGGCTGCAGCAGTGTTAGTTGCTGCACAGGGTTGGCTTTGAACCAACTGCACCAAGAAAGTCCATTTCCTCCTATCTCTGCTCCCTCCTCCCTGTGGCTCTTGGCTATATTATAGATAAGATGCCAAGACTATATCTTCCAGCAGCAAGGAGGCTGAGTGCCTGCTGTGGTCCCAACAGTTAGACCTTTAGTACAAGCTCA